GCAAATCCAGCATTTGCAAGAACAAGCCAGGAAGGTGGGTCATGGCTTTTAGGCAGGACTTCGTTTTCCTCATTTAGTTCATAGTATTGACTTATAATCATGTAACTAGTCTTCAGTACCTTCTAGAAATATTGAGGTATTGTGCAAAATAAAATAAGTCCAAGAGGTTAAGTATAAGCTAATTTTTTTGACTAGGAGAAAGTTCAGTGAGCTAAAGCATTTTGAAGTAAAAATATTTTTCAGTTATAAAAGCAATGTACTTACTACAGAAAAGTAGGAAAGAAATATAAAAATCACTCAAAGCCATTAATACTTAATATTTTGAAATATATTCTAAAAGAATTTTTACAGCACAGTAAAATTAGAGTCTAATTTTTAATCTCTGCAGAACCATCTGATCCCAGCAGTGATTTTTTGCTACGGGGGAGGAAGCAAGATCATATTATAAATATTAAACAGTTTCTAGATTTTAATTGGGATGATCACTAAATATGAGTGCCTGTTACCTCCAATACCCAATTTGTTACCTTTCTCTGGTTCTTAGGTATTAGAAGATGCTCGCAGAGATGCTGACTTGCACCATATAGCTTGTAATATAGTGAAAAAACCTGGCAACATTTACTACCTTTATCAACGGGAGAGTGGTCAGCAGTATTTTTCTATTATTTCTCCAAAGGTAAGACCATTTATTTTTGCACAAAAAGTCTACTCCTAGTCTTTGAGAAATTCTTGGCATGTGTGTGAAAATGTAGGCATAGGGGTTGGTAAATGGTTTCCCAGGAAATGGGAAATATGTGTGAGCCCCAATATGATTCTGAAAAACATACATGTGCTTACATTATTTCACAGCCATTATGTCTGCAAAGGGAGGGATCTGTAATGTGTAATGTTAGGCTTTCTAGGATGATTCTAACTGGTCTGAAGTAAAAAGCCAAACAATTGTGGCATAATTAGGAAATGTCTTTACATCTTATCCTACTCAGAACCGACTCCTTTGCCTTCTCTAGGAATGGGGAACGAGTTGTCCACATCCCTTCATTGGTGCTTACAAGCTACAGCATGACTTGTCCTGGACTCCCTTTGAGGACATTGAGAAGCAAGATGCTAAAATCAGCATAGTGGACAAGTTGCTAAGCCAGCCAATGGCCCTACCTCCAACGCCTGACCTCAATTTCCAGGGATTGCCTCACTGAAAATGGACTCTGACAAACAGCTCTCACGGCAAGGACCTGTCACCTCCTTGTTGCTCCCATTCTCTGCCTTGATGGGAGGTGGCAGGAGAATTGAGGATGTGTAAGTGAATCATGAACTTCTTGGAAGGAGACCCTGTGTGGTTGTAATGCTGTCATTATTAGTTTTAGTTGGGATAGTAATGAATCACGTTGGTCTTTTTTGGGATCCTCTCTGGGTCAAACACCCAACCAGTCAGTTTCAGCATGCTGGCTAATGTACTTTCTTTCTCCTTTGTCTCCCTCTGTTCTCCTAAGTCAGAGTATTACAGAAAGAAGATTTTTTTCTTCACATAAAAAAGTTGGCAAGCATTTCCATAGGGGACTGGTTTTAATTTTTAAGGTCACTAGTCTTTAAGATTGGGTGTAGGTTACTTAAACAGTTGGTGCAGTCAAGCTACAAATTCATCAGGAACCTCGGCCGGCATTGCTCAGTGTTGAGTGTTCCCTATGAACCAGGAGGTCATGGTTTGATTCTTGGTCAAGGCACATGCCTGGGTTACGGGCTTGATCCCAGCATGGGACATGCAGGAGGCAGTGGGTTGATGATTCTCATAATTGATGTCCTTCTCCCTTCCTCTCTGAGATCAATAAAAATATATTTAAAATAATTCTATCTAATAAAAGGGTAATATGCAAATTAAACATTCCATCACAAAGATGATGGCACCCATGGCCACAAGATGGCGGTGCCCAGTCCTCTCAGCCCCGCCAGAGTCCCCCAGTCCTGGCGGGGGTGAGGAGGGTATGAGGGGGTGGTAGCTGCTGAGAGTGGGCAGCGTGAGCGGCCTGGCAGAATGCTTGCTTAGTCACTGTGCCTGGTTCAGGCTGGTCCCCCGGAGCTGGACATGGACAGGACAGGGACGGGGAAGGGCGGTTGGGGGGGGGGGGGGTTGGTGGTGGTGGAGAGAAAGATGGGGGAGGGGAGCTGGCCTGCAGCCTCTAAGACGGAATGCAGGCCCCAAGGGAGATGGTGGGCACGCCTCCTGCAGAAGCATGAGTCCCTCCCTGCTCCCATGGTAGAGGTGCAGCTCCCTCCCACCTCCCATGGAATGAACACGGGTCCCTCCCGCTTCCCGTGGAAGCGGCGAGGCTTCCTCCCGCCTCCCGTGGGCGCCGGCAGCTCGCTCACACCTCCCAGAGAAGCCGCGTGGCTCCTGTGGAAGCAGCGCCGCTCCCGGCGGCACGCTGCGGTTCCTTCCGGCCCTGTGGAAGCAGCGGGCAGCCTTACGCGTGCAATATTGCACAGTGGGTTACTACTAATAAATTTATCGGGGAACAAGGATGTTGTGTAATGGAGGATGATAAACAACTTGCCTTGGCTGCGCCAGAGTGTGTGATTATGGTATTTCTGCGCTATTGGTGAGGTTTGATTTGCCCTCTCTGCTCATCTGCTTTGCTGGAGTGACTGGAAAATCTGAGAAAGCACAATGGCCAGATGTTGGGAGGGTCAGCCTCTCAAATCACAGAGTCTGCCCGTAGATCCTTGTTACATGGGTCTCCCCAACATGGCAACTTTCTTCTATCCCCTCTCCAACCCATCTGCAAAGATCAGCTTGATCTTATGTAAAGTCACACAACTCATAAGCAATGGAACACCCTTCTCCTTCACAAGAAAGTGTTTATTAAGGAGTTGGAGCTTGGGAGGACGCAGCTCCTAAGTGCCTGGAGCAATTAGGCCTTTGTAGTCTCAAGCAGCGTTTGGTTCAGTTGTCCACTCTCTGCTTGAAATGTTTTTTTTTCCTCCTTCATTTTGATTTGGAATTATCATCTATCTGCTTTTCTCCTACTTCACCAATTGCATCTTTTCAGTGTCCTGGCACATTTAAAAATATATATATTTTATTGATTTTTCACAGAGAGGAAGGGTGAGGGATAGAGAGTTAGAAACATTGATGAGAGAGAAACATCGATCAGCTGCCTCCTGCACACCTTCTACTGGGATGTGCCCACAACCAAGGTATATGCCCTTGACGGGAATTGAACCTGGGACTTTTCATACCGCAGGCTGACACTCTATCCAAACCCGTTAGGGCTCCTGGCACATTTTTAACTGCTCTGGGCCAAACCCTTGGCCCTGTTGACTTTCTCTCTAATCCATTTCCTTGACTTTAAATACCACCTTATGCTGCTGACTGATCTCTCCCTCAAGTTTCACTCAAACTGTTTATGCAAGAGCCTTTTTTGACATTAGAGGCCCAGTGTGAGATGGAAATCACGCGAGGAGGCGCCCTGTCTCCCACCGTGCGAGAAGGCACCCTGTTGGGGGCCAGGACCCGTGCCTGAATCGCAGTGTCCCCCGGCTCCCCTGCCTGTGTCTGCTCTTGGGCCACTCGAGCTGCTGTGCCAGCTCAGGCAGGCCCCCCGGCCGCTGCCTCTGTCTCCGCTCCGGGTCTCACCTGCGCGCGCAACCTGTCTGGTCGTGATCTGTTACCGAGTCCTGGCCTAATTTGCACATCACCTTTATTAGGTAGATCATTACAAACTTAACCATGTCCAAAATGGAAGTCTCGAGTTCTGTCTAAAAACCTGTTTCATCACCAGTTTTGTCTGCATATTTCCATCAGCACCTATCTCACACTGTTGTCAAGGCCAAAAATCTATGTCATCCTTGATTTCATTTGTTCTCCCCACACCAATCAGCAAGTCATCTTAGCTCTGTCTTTAAAATATAGCCCAAATCCAACTGCTTCAGACCACTTTCACCACTACCCTCTGAGTCTACAACACCAACATTTCTAGCATACACGAATGCAGTATCCTTGTCTCCCCACCTCTGTTCTCATCCTTCATTCTGTCTCCACAGAGACTGTCTGCATCATCATTAAAAATTATAAAGCAGCCGAGACCGGTTTGGCTCAATGGATAGAGCGTCAGCTTGGGGACTGAAGGGTCCCGGGTTCGATTCTGGTCAAGGGCATGTACCTTGGTTGCGGGCATGTCCGCAGTAGGGGATGTGCAAGAGGCAGCTGATCGATGACACTCTCTCATCGATGTTTCTATCTCTCTCCCTTCCTCTCTGTACAAAATCAATAAAATATATTTTAAAAAATTTATATAAAAAAAATAAAGCAGGTCACAACACCTCTATATAATAATAACCAAACAATTTCTCATTAACTTAGAATAAAATCCAAACGTTTTACCAAGGTGTTAGGTGATTTGCCACTGTCAGTATTCACCGTGTTCCTGCTGACATTTCCATCCTAACACACCAAGCTTGTTCCTGCTTCAGACCCTTTGCATTTGCTGCTCCATCTGCCTGGAATATCCCCCACGATCTGCATGATTTGCATCTTCTCATCATTTAGGTCCTGCTCAAATACTACTGCATAGATGACCCTATCAGAAATACCAACTCTCATGCCAAAATCACTCTGACTGTTTTGTTTTCCATGGCCCTTATCATGAGCAGACCTTATTGGTTGCCTTTCCCAATAGGACAGAAATGGCGTTTGCCTTGTTTACTGCTATATCCCTCGCACCCAAAATAGTGCCTGGCTCATAATAAATACTCTAATAATGAACGGATGAATAGGTGGACATCTGGAGCTCTGCGTTTATTTATATCCTGCAAAGGATCTCAGTCAATGTAGCTAGAAGAAATACAATATGAGCCACATGTGTGGTTTTAAAATTTTTGGTAGCTATATTTAAAAAAACAGAAACAGATGAAATTAACTTTAATAATACATTGTACTAATCCAGTATACGCAAAATATTAACATTTCAATAGATAATACTAAAAATATTAGTTATTTTTATTGTTTAAAACAATATTCAAACTCTGGTGTGCATTTTGCACATACAGCATGTCTCTGGACTAGTCATATTTTAAGTGCTGAAGAGCCAGATATGGCTAGAGGCTACCATATTATCACAAGGGCAGATTGTCTAACCTTACTATTCTTTTTTAAAAAAAAATATTTTATTGATTTTTTACAGAGGAAGAGAGAGGGATAGAGAGTTAGAAACATTGATGAGAGATTCATCGATCAGCTGCCTCTTGCACACCCCCTACTGGGGATGTGGCCGCAACCAAGGTACATGCCCTTGACCGGAATTGAACCCGGGACCTCTCAGTCCGCAGGCTGACGCTCTATCCACTGAGCCAAACCTGTTTCGGCATAACCTTACTATTCCTGTTCTTCACTTCCTGTGGAATCCAGAATGGGAAGAAGCTAGAAACTTCTGGAAGATGGAGAAGAGGAACTTTCTTAGCTACTACTGCTTTTCTCTTCTGAAGGAAACCTCGGGGAAGTTTCAGCTAACAAATGCATGATCATGTAGTAATAATAATAATAATAATAATAATAGAACTTTGTGCTAAGCGATTTATATAATCCCATTTTACAGGCTAGAATATAAGTTCATGAAACAAAGTAACTTGTTCAAGTTTACACAGCTTGTCAGTGTTAGTGCTGGAATATAACTTGGTTAAAAGTTAAAGCCAGTATTATAACCATTATGCTACAGTTTTTTGTTTTGTTTTTAAAAAAATATATTTTATTTATTTTTTACAGAGAGGAAGGGAGAGGGATAGAGAGTGAGAGAGAATCATCGATCAGCTGCCTCTTTCACACCTCCTACTGGGGATGTGCCTGCAACCCAGGTACATGCCCTTGACTGGAATCGAACCTGGGACCTTTCAGTCTGCAGGCCAATGCTCTATCCACTGAGCCAAACCGGTTTAGGCTATGCTACAGTTTTTAATTTACTGCCTTAATGGACCACATGGCATGGACAAATTAAGAGAAACACAAGTGATAGCAGTCAATCTGGCCCTTGGCTTGAACTTGCCGCACACCTTTAGTTGCCTCCATCCTGGTTCTTTCTTTTAGTTCCTCAGACACCTTTATCTGACTTTTCATGTCAGACTGTGTTGAGGTCTCAGCTTCACGAATTATTAATGGTGCAACTTTCAATAAAATCAATGAATCCCCTATTTCCTCTTTTGGAGAAGGGGAATGCTAATATCTTGGGCATTTGAGAAAATCTAATAAATGATGATACTGTCGGTAAAGCATTGAGCACAGTGCTCTGTGGCTAGTAGCCACTCAGGATACACTCTAGATTCTGTATTGTTTCTTTCCCCTCCAGGTTGCTAGGCATTCCTAACTCCGCCCCTGCTCTTTGCAAATCCTCTCTAATGTAGTGGCTGGGTAGGTGGGAGAATGTGAGGCAGATGTTAGAACTGGTGCCTGGGGTCCTACCTAATATCAACAAAATTCTTTCTGTAGGACACTCTTCATCCAAGTGGCCAAATCTATTCACTAGAGAGGCTCTTACCTTCTCCCTCATTCCTCTCCCACTCGGGATTCCATCTCACCTTGGCTCCTAGTCTGGCTACTTCCCATTCCCTTCAGTTGCTGACCAACAATGCGGCATTGCTCCTGCCTGCAGCTCATCTCTCATGCAGTATTACACAGCCTTCCTCCACCCTGGCTGCCAGAATAATCTTTCTGACCCAAACTGCCCATGTCACTTTCCTATTTAAAATGAAACCTTCCTAGCCCTAGCCAGTTTGGCTCAGTGGATAGAGTGCCGGCCTGCCAACCGAAGAGTCCCCGGTTCAATTCTGGTCAGGGGCATGTGCCTTGGTTGCAGGCACATCCTCAGTGGAGGGTGTGCAGGAGGCAGCTGATTGATGTTTCTCATCGATGTTTCTAACTCTCTCTCTCTCCCTTCCTCTGTAAAAAATCAATAAAATATATTAAAACAAACAAACAACACAAAAAAAGTAATTGCCCTAGCTGGTTTGGGCCTGTGGACCCTTAGGCTCCATCCCCAGTAGGGGGCTTGCAGGAGGCAGCCAATCAATTATTCTCATCATTGATATTTCTAACTCTCCCTTTCCCTTCCTCTCTGGAATCAATATATATATTGATGATAAATAAATAAATATATATATCTGTATATCTGTATATGTATGTGTATATATATATATATATATATATATATATATATATATATATATATATATATATATATATATATATATATAAATTTACTATTTTCAGGCCTGGGTATAAATTACTCAGCTTGTCTATCCAACAAATATGGGGGTGGGATGGTGGAGGAGACTTGATATATGCCTAACTGTTCTTAGGGGAACCAAGATACACCAGTGCACCTCACAGTGCAAGCCTTGCCTAAGTCTGGATCCCAGCATCTATCCCTTTACAGGCTTACCTCCCAACTCCCTTCCAGTCCACCTCCCACTCGCCATGCGTTCTGTTCTCTTCACCTGCCAAGCCGCACCACACTCGCCATGACCGAAAGTAGTCCCCTCTCCAGATCCCTCCAACCGTACCACACTCACTACAAGGCCTAGGGCTCCCCAGCAAACTGAGGCCCCTCTTTCGCCAGCCAAAGCCCGGCCGCCCCTCCCCTGTCTGTCAGGGATTGTGAGCTAAGAGCCAGGGCTAAGCCTGGGGGCCAGCGCCGCTGCCCCTTGCGTGGCTGGTCCCCCTCCGCTGCACAGGAAGCAGGGAAGGAGTGGGCCCCCACCCCGATTAGGAATGTCCAGTTCGCAGGTGAGTGGAAGCAGCAGCGCGTGTCCCTCGAGTGCCGTGAGCGTCCCGGGGGAAGTTGTTCCGAAGGGCGCCCAGCCCCAGCGCCATCTCTAGTGCCTTTTCCCATGGGCGGCTAGTGACCCTGGACTGAAGTCTGAATAGCGGGGAGGGGAGCTCCAGTTCTCTAGTTCGGAGGGACCAGCTCAAGAGAGGCCGGCTTTCTGTTGCTGAGGGATGTTGGCCTCGAGGGGTGGGGTGGGGTAGGAGCATGGAGGAGGAGGGAGGGTGTCCCTAAGTAGAGTGACGATGCCCTGTGTCCTGTGCCTATACCTGTTGGACCCTCCACTTAGACCTGCTCACTTCAGTGCTGCTCCTAGGGTTTCCGGGGGTGGGGGGGTGGGGGTGGGGGGAGGAACCGGCTTGGCCATTCCTTCCTTTCCCTGGAAAACCTCAGGCATTTGTTTGTTCACCAGTCTCATGGCTCGTTTTCTTCAGACCACCCTCCATTTCCAACCCCTATCTGACCAAAACCCCTCCTTACTAAACACCATTGCCTATCCTCAGGCTGCAAGTCAAGGTCACAGCTGGGCATCCCTGCTGACTTGCCTCCAGTCAAGTCAAACCTTCCCCGACTTAGTCTCTCTCCCTTTGCACCTGCAGCAACTGGATATCCCCTTGTCCCACGGACACTTGCCATGCTGCCTTCATTGTCCCTACACATGTCTGCCTCCCCTACCAGACTCGGAGCTCCCTGAGGGTGCAGCCCGGGTCATGTGCACCAGCAAATATATATTTTTAAAATGAGTAAATGGAAGATCATCAGCGTTGGGTAGATGTCACGTGTGGTGAAGCAGCTGGATTGTTGAGAGTTCATTTGAGAAGGCTTCTCGGAGGACACTGACCAGGCTTTGGTGCAGGGAGAGGATCTCAGGGAAGCACCAGGATGACGTACTCTGTTAATTTGTCAATCATTGAACAGCTTCTATTGCTAGGCCTCGGCGTGGGCACAGGGAACCTTGGTATGCACTCGCATTGCTTCTCCTGTAGTAGAGGAGGAAGACAAGATAGGCAATGCCAATACAGAGTGCCAAGAGTGACATGGTGTGCTCAAGGACATGTGGCAGTACAGAGGAGGGGCACCTAACAGGCTTGGGATGGTATGGGGTGTCAGGCTTCCTAAAGAGGACCCCCACCCAAACCAAGACCAAAGGAAGGGCCAGAGAAGGGATTAACAGGCAATAGGGAGGGATTAGAGGCTAAGAGTTGAGCATGGCTTCATTATGAAAGTCTTGTATACCAAATGAAGGAGTTGGAGTACTATGCCATCCTGAGGGCATTAAAGCTAGGGAGCAATGCCTCGTTTATGACCCCCTCCTCTGAGGAACCTTCTCTAAGCCCCTTGACGTGCTGCTCCCCTCTTCTATGCTGCCTCAGCATCCTGGTCACGTCAGTGCAGGGTTGAATCTTCTGCTAGACTGAGTTCCTTGAGAAATGAGACCAGGTCTTAGACTCTGTGTCCCAAGCACCAGGCCCCAAATCTTGCTCATGATTAAATGTTTGCTGAGTGAATAGATTATTTCTTTTTTTTCCCGCTGGATTTCTCCAACCCTTACTCTCAGATCCATATTTTTTTAACCTGGGACATGTTCATTATGCTAAAAATAGCATTGAATTGGGAAAGAGGAGACCTGATGCAATCCTGGTTCCAACATTTAGTGGGATAAGCTGCTTAACTATCCTGAAACTTCCATTTCCCCATCTGTCCAATGGGGTACCACCAGGAACAGAGTAAGTCTCCACATGCATGCATGAGTTATTTTCCTGGATAGCCTAGAAGTTCCATGGAGACAAGGACCAAGGGTTTTTGTCAGCATCTAGCTCAGTCTGAGTTTACAGTGAATACGCTTGGTCCTGTGCTTGGTAGACAGCAGAATACAGAGGAACCTTACAGAAGTCTTAAGTCTTAGTCTGACACTTCCAAAGTGTGTCAGTGACCTTGAGCAAAGTTGTTCTTCTCTCTGTGTCTTCTTTGCCTTACCTGGCAAGTAGGGACAGTGATCCTTACCTCGTAGACCTCACAGGGCCAATGGAAATCACAGAGGTGAAAGTGTTTTGTGAATGAACGAAATAACATAGTAGATAGCCGAGCATTAATTTTAAAAAATAGTGAACTAGTAGAGATGAGGTGTGTCTAATAATTGGCACCTGCTGACTGCTCGTGAGAGGTGGAGATGCTGGGATGCTGCTCTTCCGGGCAGCAGTGGGTTAGGCTGGGGTAGAGGTGTTTGGGTTTGCGGGGGGTCAGCCGTGAGGCCCAGGAGAGACCAGGTGGAGGGGTTCATGGGGAGGGAGTGTGCAACCAATCCTTTGCCCCCTCCCCTCTCCCATAATTCTGGCTCACATACTTTCCAGTCTTAGGTTTTGAGTGGCCCTGGATGAGAAGGTCTGAGGAGTCCCAGCGGCTTTGGTGATGTGGTCACTGACCCCCTTGGTGAAAGGGTGGCCTGTGGGAGCAGTGAACCCACAGCACTGCCTTGATAAACCACCAGTCCCAAACTGCAAGTCCAGCCCTTCCCAGCGCTGACATCTTGGTGGCAGGGTTTATGTGAAAGGACCTGGTTTCTTAGCTCTTGTCTAGACCAGAAGGGGCTGGGACTGTATAGGTATGCTGAGTGGAGGCAGAGTCTCAGCTTCCTCACCTCTAGAATGAGTAGGATTTGCCTGGCCAATGTGGCTCAGTGATTGAGCCTCAACCCATAAATCAGGGATCACAGTTCAATTCCCAGTCAGAGTATGTGCCCAGGTTGCAGGTACGATCCCAAGTGTGGGGTGGGGGTGGGGATGCAGGAGGCAGTTGATCAATGATTCTGTCTCATCATTGATTTTTCTATCTCTCTTTCCCTCTCCCTTCCTCTCTGAAGTCAATAAAAAAAAATATATATATATTTTATTGATTTTTTACAGAGAGGAAGGGAGAGAGATAGAGAGCTAGAAACGTCGATGAGAGAGTAACATTGACCAGCTGCCTCTTGCACACCCCCTACCGGGGATGTGCCCGCAACCAAGGTACATGCCCTTGCCCAGAATCAAACCCGGGACCCTTCAGTCTGCAGACCGACGCTCTACCACTGAGCCAAACCGGTTTCGGCATGAAGTCAATAAAAATATATTGAAAAAATTAGTGAGGATTTTTTAGGGAGAATGATAGCACTGTCCCCTTGAAGTCGTCAGGATCAGAAGAGAGCACACAGTGAAAAGCGCCTTGTGAAATAGTCTATGCTATTCATATTCATTTTGTCTGTTTCTCACTCTTCCTTCCCCTGTTGGAGCTGGGCCTGCTGCTCTGGTTGGGGCCTGTCAGAACCAGAACCGTGAGACACCTCAGTTGCAGTCCTGTCCTCCTGAGGGCGTGAGCGTGGCCTTCAGGACAGAGGAGGCTGACTTTGCAGTGAGTCCCTGTTGTGCTTCCTTCCCCTCAGGTTGCCTCTCTCCCCTGGGCCATTCCTGGGGTGTGTGCGTTACCCCTTTCCAGTGCTTTTTATTCCTGTGGGGCTCATCAAAGTATTGAAAATAGCTTTATAATAAAGAAAAATCTCATCTATGACAAAGAGCTCAGTGACAAAATGCTCATCCCTCAGAAGCGGGGAAGGGCCCATACTTTGGTACCCAGGGAAATGGAGTGCCATGAGGACCAACCTATGGCTAGAGAGAGGTTTGTACTATGGGGTAAAGGATGTAGTTAGAGAGGCTGGGAACTATGGTTGAGCTGGTTCATTTGCTTTGCTCTTGGGTTTTCCCAAGACCCTCATCTTCAATCCTTTGTCTTTACCTCCTGTGTCTCCTCCATCTACTTACTGTCTGCCTCATTCCAGCCAGTGGAACCGTGTGTGGAGGGTGACGTTCTGGGAGAAAATCTAGGGGAACAGGAGCTACCTGGTTCTTAGGAGCCTCTTTTGGGACTCTAACCTTGGGAATCTGTTACCCCTCTTCTCTGGGCCACAGGTTAGTGCACCGGTTTCTTCCTGACCAAAGACCAGAGTCACCTCCAGATGAATGAAATTTCCTGGAAAGATGTTGCCAATGTCTTGTCGTTGGCCAACATGGTCATGGGGCTCTTCTCCATCTTCTGCAGCCTCAGCAAGTAGGTCCGGGGCCCGGCAAGGCCTCAGCCATGGATGTGAAGAGAGAAGTGGGGCATCTAGAGAGCCAGGCACTGAGGCATGGAGCTCAAATGGGGGCAGAAGAAAGTGTACAGGTTGGGAGTCAAGGAGCCAGGAGTCTCCCTTCAGTTCTATCATTAACCTAGTATGTGACCTTGGCTAGGTCACACCCCTGAGCCTCAGTTTCTCCATCTTTAAAACAAGGAGCTTGCACAATGATCTCTATAGTTCCTTCCAAATATGGCAGTCTAGAATTTTTTTTTAATTTTTTTTTTTATCAGGAGATTCTGCTTTGGCAGCTTTTCCCAGGCATGTCAAACTCATGGCAGGCAGGTCACATGACCTGGCCAGCCACTGGTTGAGAGTTTGACATGCCTGCTACACAATTATTGGGTAGGTAGACTACCATTCAAAATTTTAAATTCTTAAATAAGAACTCATGATCTGGTGGAATATTTAAAATTAGCACTGCTCTGGAAAATTTGAGACATGTATGTGGGCCTCAAAAAGTTGTAAGCAGATGATATTTTTATAAATTGAGTCATATTTCAATGACTTGGCAAATTGGCTCTTTTTGTTTATTTATATTTATTTATTTATTTATTTTCTGTATCGTTTCAATTTTAGTATATGTGCTGCCGAAGGGAGCACGAATTGGCTCTTTTTAGATAAATCCTATATCATGCAAATAACATCCTCCTAATCTGTTTGAATCTCTATAATCATCAGTGGATGGCTTCTCTGGATATGTGTCTCATGATATTTAAGTTCCCTCCCAGTTTGAAAATTTTATGATTCTCTAAATCTGGTTTTGGGAGTCTCATAAAGTGAGGCATACCTGCAGCAGAAAATCTTTATTTTTCTTAATTTAGCCTAATCTTCTGGGAGTGTGTTTTTTATGTTATTATCACGGGCCCACTTCCTTTAAACACACAGGTATAGGTCTAAACAAAGGAAATGTTGGGGTTGTTTGGGGACAGCTGAGGTCTGGGGTCAGATTTTCTGTTTGCCTCTATGGGACCACCCAAGCATTGCAGTCAGAGTGTAGACTTGAGAATGGCCTTCTAGGGCAGGTTTGCCGAGACTGTGGTGGTTGCTTTCAGAGGGGTCCAGGAGCATGTGCTGGACAGAAGCATAGAATCCTCAAATGTAGGGTTTGAAAGAACTCTTGGGAGTCATTATTAATACAACATAAAATACATTAGATGAAAACTGATACAACTGCAAGGAGAAACTGATGACTCTACTATCATAGTTGGCTATTTCAACACCTTCCTGTCAGTAATTGACAGAGCTAGCAGACAGAAAATCAGTAAGGGTATAATTGAACTGGCAGCACTATCAATCAACTAAGTCCAATTGATATTTATAGACTGCTTCATCCAACAATAGCAGAATACAGATTCTTCTCAAGCTTACCATGATAGACCACATTCCATGCTATGAGACACACCACAACAAATTTAAAAGAATAAAAACTATATAAAATATGCTTTCAGACCATATGGAATCAAACTAGAAGTAAATAACTAGAAAGATAACTAGAAAGATAACTAGAAAATCTCAAAATAGTGGTTAGACACAGTTTTAAATAACATATGAATAAAAGAAGCTCAAGAGAAATTTAAAAATATTTTTAAAAATATATTTTATTGATTTTTTTACAGAGAGGAAGGGAGAGGGATAGAGAGCTAGAAACATCGATGAGAGAGAAACATCGACCAGCTGCTTTTTGCACACCCCCTATTGGAGATGTGCCTGCAACCAAGGCACATGCCCCTGACCGGAATCGAACCTGGGAACTTTCAGTCCGAAGGCCGACGCTGTATCCATTGAGCCAAACCGGTTTTGGCAAAATTTAAAAATATTTTTAACTAAAAGAAAATGAAAATATAACTTACCAAAGTTTGTGAGTTGCAGTAAAAGCAGTACTAAGACAGAAATTTTTAGTATTAAATTCATATTCTAGAAGAGAAATCTGCTCTGAAACAGACTACATCAAGAGAATGAGAAGACAGGCCTGGCTAGGTGGCTCAGTTGGTTATAGCACCATCCTGTACACCGAAATATTGCAGGTTTGATTCCTAGTCAGGGCACCTACCTAGGTTGTGGGTTCAATCCCCTTTGGGGCACAGGAGGTTCATCCTTGGTATGTACCAAGAACCAGAATATACCATTCTGGTGAGTGATGCTGATAATGGGGAGGCTATGCATATGTGAGAGGTGGGGGAATATGGGAAAACTCTGCATTTTCCTTTGCATTTTGTTATAAACATAAAATCTCTAAAATCAGTCTTACAAAAATTGAAAAGAAGGAAGATCTAAAATCAATAACCTGAGCTTTCACTGTAGGAAACTAGAAAAAGATGAGCAAATTAAATCTAAAGTAAGAGAAGGAAGTAAATAATAAAAATTAGAGCAAAACTCAATGAAATTGAAAACAAGAAATTAATAGGGAAAGTCAATGAAACAAAAAACTAGTTCTTTAAAAAGATCAATAAAATTGATAAGCCTCTAGCTAGGCTAACCAAGAAAAAAAGAGAAGGCACATATTACCAATATCAGAAATGAAAGAGAAGCCATCGCTACTGATCTCATGAACATTAAAAGCATAATAAAAGAATGTCATGAACTCTATACCCACAAATTTGATAGCCTAGATCTGTGGTCCGAAAACTGTGGCTCACGAGCCACATGTGGCTCTTTGGCCCCTTGAGTGTGGCTCTTCCACAAAATACCACGGCCTGGGAGAGTCTATTTTGAAGAAGTGGCATTAGAAGAAGTTTATGTTTAAAAAATTTGGCTCTCAAAAGAAATTTCAATCGTCGTACTGTTGCTATTTGGCTCTGTTGACTAATGAGTTTGCTGACCACTGGCCTAGATGAAATGGACCAATTCCTTAAAAGATCCAAGCTATCAAAACTCTCAGTAGGAGAAATACTAGATAATAGGAACAGGTCTATATGTGTTAAATAAATCGTTTGGCACAGATCCCTCATTTTACAGATGGAGGAACAAAAAGGCCTAGAGAAAGAGGGGAGTGATTTATCTGAGAATTCACTGTAATGTAGTTGCAGAGGCTGGGCTAGAACCTAGGGCCCTTGGGCCATTGAATATACCTGAAACTTAGAGTTGGAAGGGACCTTAGTGATTAGCTAGGAGGTTTGGGCGCCACTTCAAGAAGGTGGGTTGAGAGTATAGAAGGAATGTAAGCGTGTGTGTGTGTGTGTATGCACGTGTGTGTATGCATGTGTGTGTGTGTGTGTATGCACATGTGCATGGTATATAAAGCTGTGTATATCAGAAAGGATATGAATGTGGGGAACTGCAGGGGTGTGTATGTGTGCAAAGGTAGGGAGTGTATTAGTGCATCAGAGGTGGGTGAAGTGGTTGTCCAGGAGACTATGAAAGCTGTCCTGTTTGGGCCTGCTGGGAAATGAAAAATAACTCCAAGCAGAGCAGCTGATCAAAAATACAATAAAATCCACCTGTGCTTCCTGGATGGTTCTGATCAGCTTCCTATCGGACATGGCAGTCAGGACAATCACCAGACATCTCAATATCTGCTCCAAATCAGGTGAGTCCAGGCTTCAGACGCTTAAACCCTGACCCCAGGAGCTCCCACATCAGGTCAGCTCCTTCATCGTATAACACTGACTGGCCCTTATCAGTCACTAGTCCTATTCATCTCCCTTAAGTAAGCAGAAGCAACCCTAGAGTTGGAGCTGGAGCCCCTCAGCCTGGATCTACTCTGTTTCCCCGAAAATAAGACAGTGTCTTATATTATTTTTTTCTCCCAAAGTTGCGCTAGTCTTATTTTCAGGGGATGTCTTATCTTTCCATGCGCTAGGTCTTATTTTCGGAGGATGTCTTATTTTCGGGGAAACACCGTAGCTCCTTTGCTGGCTCACTTACTGACCTCTGGTTATCCTTAGCCTGGCTTTCAGTTTCCTTGTCTGCCCTGAGTTCCTATTCAGAACCAATCCAAGAAATGGGGTTGGGAATGGTGGTTGTGATGATGGGAGAGAGGGGAAATGAAAAATAACTCCAAGCAGAGCAGCTGATCAAAAATACAATAAAATATTTTTGTGTCATATTTTGCTTGAAAAAATTGGTTCCATAGTTTCTTAATTTGTATCCAATTGTAGTTCAATCCTTGTTAAAGGGTGGAACTAAGATCTGGGCCAGGAAAGACATGCCTTAAGGCCATAGGGTCATTCTAAGGTGGAGCCAGAAGACCAGTCTTTGATTTATAGACACCTAGGGGAATAGATGTTGCCTTTTTGGGCCTCAGACTCTGCCTGTCACCATCTCAGCACCCCCACCGGAGGGGACTAATGCACACGGTGTGTAAGTGTAAGTTCTAACCTTGGCGTGCTGGAGCAGGAGCTGAGCTGAATGACTTTGCTGTCTTCACCACCTTTGGCCTGGCCTCAGCCCTGCTCCTAGGCGTGGATGGGCCTCTGAATGGGTTCCTGGCCATCATCTATGTGTTAGCTGCTTCTTTCCGTCTGTGTTTTAATTCAACTGGTGAGTGAAACCCAGCCTTATGGCTGAGCTAGGGAACCGTGAAGGGGGAGGAGCTGTTGAGTGCAGTAACCGACTCCTCTCCTTCCTTTTATAAAGTCCCTCTTCCTTCCTTCTGCTGTGCCCCAGACCCATTGGAGGCTGGAGGCTGCACTGGAGGAGCCCTGGTCTGAGGGTGGGGGAGTGGGGGAGTGGGAAGTAGAGGAGTGAGGTTAAGGCCCTCAGGTCTTGGGCCAGCTATGCCTTTTTCTCACTAGGTGACCTTTGCAGGGCAATTGCCTATGATTCCAGTGCAAGGGCGTGCAGATGCAGCCTAGACTTAGGGCCCTTCTTACAGAGGCCCCCTAGGGCCAAGACATACCCCCAGTCCTAGCCGCCTGCTTTACCTTGGGGAGTCCAATGCAAAGCCCATGCACCATCTCCATGAATAGCAAAATGCTTTACAGCCTGCTACTGTCCTGAGATTAAGGGGGTTTGGGGAGAGGGGTAGGGAAAACCCAAAGGGACAGGGGCTTGCTTCGTGCAGATACCTTGAGATCAGCAGGAAGCCGCTAATCCCATCTTTTCTTTCCCAGGAGACTTTCCCTTCACATACAAGGGTCTACCCTGCTCCTATGCTTCCTGTGTTCTGGCCTCCACCTCCATTCTGACCAAAGGCAACACGCTCATTCTCTCCTGCATGGCCTCGCTTATGATTCTATTCATGATGGATCAAAGCTACTACCCACACGATGAAATCCTGGAATCTGAGAATTGGAAAAAAATCATTTATCTTGGAGGTGAGTGGGGATGAGGGAGGAGAGGGTAGGAAATACACGTAAGAAAGCTTAATGAAAACTGAGTGTTGTGTTTCTTTCTCCTTCCAGGTGTCACCATGCTGCTTTTTTCTCCATTCTCACTAATTGCTTTTTACTGCCTCACGTGGTCGCTCTCCTACATCTTCTTTCCAGATGTTCTGTGGGGCAAGGCAGTGTGTCTTAGGCAGGAGCGCCTAAGAAACTAAACAGCTCTTCCCACTCCTTCTGGCTTCTATGTGGTTTGTGCCAGCCTGTTGGGCCAAACTTGCCTTATCCTCACTAAATCTCCCTTTGTTCCCCTTGTTGTGCTTGTGGCAGATACATGGTGTCTCAACCCAGAACAACCCACAGCAAGGCCAGCAGCCTTCCCTTCTCCTTTATTCAGGGATCTGAATCCCTTCAGGACAATAGTTGTTCATGTCAGATGGAACAGAATTTTTTCCAAGCTCACTTTGGGCCAGGTTTGCATTCCAGCTCTATTACCACGAAGGTTAATCCCTTGGAAAGGAAACCCATCAGAATTGGTATAGCTCCAGTAATGGGGTAGCACTCAGTTCGCTAAGGCGTTTCTTCTCTCTCTCTCTCTCTCTCTCTCTCTCTCTCTCTCTCTCTCTCTCTCTCTCTCTTTTGTTTTGTTAATCCTCACCTGAGGATATTTTTCCATCAATTTTTAGAGAATGGAAGGGACTGGGAAAGGCAGAGAGACAGAAACCTCTATGTGAGAGACACATATATTTTGGTTGCCTCCTGCATGCTCCCTCTCTCCAGGTCCTGGGATTGAGCCTGCAACTAAAGTACAAGCCTTTGACCAGAATTGAACCCAAGACTCTTCAGTCTGTAGGCCAACACTCTATCCACTGAGTCAAACTGGCTAGGGCTCTGAGTTTCATTTTTTTAAAAAAAATCTGTTTTTATTGATTTTAGAGAGTGGAAGGGAGAGGGAGAGAGAGGGAAACATCAATGAGAGATACATTGATTGGCTGCCTCTTGATGTCCCCTTCTAGGGATCAAGTCTACAATCTGGGCATGTGCCCTGACTGGGAATCGAACTGTGACCTCCTAGTTCATGGGACAATGCTCAACCAGCCATACAGCATTTCTTTAAAAAAAATTTTTTTCCCGCCGAAATCGGCTTGGCTCAGTGGGAGAGCGTCGGTCTGCGGACTGAAGAGTCCTGGGTTTGATTCTGGTCAAGGGCATGTATGTTGGTTGCGGGCACATCCCCGATAGGGGGTGTGCAGGGGTAGCTGGTCGATGTTTCTCTCTCATTGACGTTTCTAGCTATCTCTCTTCCTTCCTCTCTGTAAGAAATCAATAAAATATATAAATAAATAAAAATAAAATAAATAAAATAAATTCCTGTTAAAAAAAAATTTCCCCTCTCACTTACAGTTGATACTAAATATAACATTAATTTTAGGTGTACAAACCAGTGATTAGACATTTATATAGCTTACAAAGTCTAGTCTACTAGATAAGTCTAGTCTACTACCCACCTGGCAGCATACATAGTTGTTACATTATTGACACTATATTCCCTATGCTCTACTTTATATCCCATGACTATTTTGTAACTACCAATTTGCACATCTTAATCCCTTCATCTTTTTTTTTTTTTTTTTTTTACTCAGCCCACACCTCCCTGCCATCTGGCAACCATCTCTGTATCTATGAGTTTGTTTCTGTTTTGTTTGTTCATTTTTTTAGATTCCACATATAAGTGAAATCATATGGTGTTTGTCTTTCTATGTCTGACTTATTCTAAACATACCATTTAGGTCTATCCATGCTGTCAAAAATGGTAAGATTTCATTGTTGATAACTGAGTAATATTCCATTGCATAAATGTACCACCTCTTCTTTATCCAATCATCTATCAATGGACACTTAGGTTGCTTCCATATTTTGGCTATTGTAAATAATGCTGCAATAAATGTACATACTCCAGCTCCATAAACCAGAGCTAGTCATAGGATAATCAGGTTGCCCAACTTGAAATTCTGTAATTATTTCAACCATCAAAGCTTCTGCCTTTTGCTACATGTAGAGATTAGTCATATTGGAAGCTTGAAGGATCATTTGGATTCTAGACTCTCATTATGTGATTTTTTTCCTAAGGTCTAAAATATTAACTATAGAAACTCAAAATTCCACTTCATATCCTAAAATCCAAAGTGAATAGAAATAAACAACATGGAACCCTAAGTTACACCTCAAAAAAGAACATAGGTCCACTGAAAGCAGCAAACCCCAGCACTCTCTTGACTTTTACCTCCAGGTGGTATACAAAGGATTGTTGGCTGTCCACCTTTTCCTCGGCTGGGCACCAGAGCACTTTTTGCCTCAGGACTAACTTCTTGAAGTTTACAGAACAATGTATGTGGCAAATATACATTCAATCTGAATTTAGGATTTAAAAATAAAAATCCAGAGAAGTCCACATTGCTCTGATTTGGCTACAGAAACACAGTTCCTCTCCCTCCCCACTGCTCTCTAATCATATTTCTATCACATGTTCTTTCAGAATTAGGTGACTTTGTGTCTCACTATATTGTAACTTCCTTCATAAACATGCTTTTGGATTTCTGCTGTCTGCCAATACCTGGCACTAAAACGGTTTACTTTGGAGATGAATTGATTTAGTTGAGCATTCCAGAGAGCTTTATGCAACATTAGTATAATGTAGTACCAATCTTACAAACATCCATGAGCTCAGACATTCCAGCCTGAAGATCCTCATCATAAATCCGTTTCTAGGCCTGGTAAAGTCAATGAAAAAGCAATGCCTGCCCTCTCCTGCTGGTGCAGGCCTGCTGCTAGCTGTCCACATTCGCCAGGTGAGAGGACCCTGGCTTCCTGCTCTGACCCTGAGTAGCAGCTCATCGGGGAGTCAAGGGCACAGATTTACACTCTGTGGCTACAAATGGAGGATCGAGGCTACAGAGTTTCAGCCCCAGGAAGAATGAGAACTGGAAGCAGCCACATTTTTTCTCCCTTTCTCTTCCACTCCCCTCCTGAAGGAGCAAGGGTTCCCTCTGCTCACCTCACTTTTCCTCTCTTATAACATCGATCCATTTCTTACGGCTGGGCACCCCCAACTAACGTATGAGCAAATGCCCATTGTATTAGTATTTTATTTGTATTTTTGGAGATTTACAGTTTCACAAGAAACACTGATTATTTTTCTCAAACAATAGAAAAAGGTTTAAAAAATAAAGAGTATTATCTTAGGAGAATAAAACAAGTCTTTTCAGCAAGCATTGGGCCAATTCAAATTGGAGGAACCAGTGAAGCGGAAGTTACACATAGGAAGTTCAGGTTTTATCCAGTTTTAGGAACAGCACAGATGCCATCTTGTCTAGTTCTGTCAGGTTCCACATGGGCCATCTCAGCTTAAAACTGGTACCGAGCTCACAAACAAAGCTTCAGGGTCCCATCTCGTTTGAAGAGGGGTGGCTCACTCTCCAGGAGGCTGCATCTGTTTACAGAACTCATCAAACTGCTGCTGCTCCAGTTCGGTCATGACTCTGTTAAGGGCATAAATCTAATGGGAGAAAAAGATGTGTTAGCAATGGAGGCAGCTGCTCAACCTATCACAACAGGCGGTGCCATTTGAAAGTGCCAGAACTGCACCAATAAGGAAGTAGGAGAAGCAGATATTCATTCCATTTGGGAAATCAGGAAAGCAGTGAAACAGGTGACTTAATCTGGCCTTTAAAGGATCTGTAGGATTTGAACAGACACTGGGGAAGGGACTTGATAGGTGATTGAGGGAGGAGAAAGTATTATGATTAAATAAATATAATGGAAAAGTACAGGACTCGTTCTGGAAACTTCAAGCATGCTAATATGGAGGATATTATAGAGGAGGGTTGGGGAACTGGAGAAAGCAAGAAGAGTATGTCAGGGACTTAAATGCCACGCCAAGAAACCCGGACTTTATCTGGCCGACGCTGGAAAGCCACCAAAGGTAGGTGTGCAGGGAGCAACCTGATTATATCTGGGCTTTGGGAAAGATAACTGGAGACCATGTGAGAGAGAGAGTTGGGGGGTGGGGAGGAGGAGAAATTACAGGCCACATAGGAGGCATCTGTTCCATCAGTGAGAATAGGACCCAGGGCAGACAGTGGGCTGGAACAAAAAATGCAACAGGTATTCTAAGGCGAAGAGCAGGCTCTACCTTATTCCTCATCTTTCTTTATCCTTGTAGTCTCAACCTGTCCACTAAAAAAGACACACACATGTAACTTCCCAATTTGTAGGACAAAAAAACAAAAGAAGGGAATGTTTGTGTTTAGGGCAGTGGTTGGCAAACTCATTAGTCACCAGAGCCAAATATCAACAGTACAACGATTGAAATTTCTTTTGAGAGCCACATTTTTTAAACTTAAACTATATAGGTAGGTACATTGTTATTAACTTAATTAGGGTATTCCTAAGCTAGCCTTTGCTAAAAACTCAAGGGGCCAAAGAGCCGCATGTGGCTCGTGAGCCGCAGTTTGCCGACCACTGGTTTAGGGAAAATAACTTGATAATTAAAAAGGCAAGAAAGGGGCAAATAAAGAAACTGAGAAGCGAGACACATAGAAAATAAGAGCAGAATTAACGGAAAAGCAGCCCAATGTACAATAGAGAGGATCCCCAAAAGGTGGTTCTCTGGAGATGCTAAAGCAAACCTCCAACATGACTGGTCAAGATAGAAAGGGAGTAGGCACAAACAATTCTCTTAGAATTTAAACACACACACACCACACAAGTACTGATGTAATAGAGATTACAGCAAACATGAACTTGGTGTCAATAAGTTTGAAAAGATAAATAAAATAAATTCCTAGAAAGTAAAATGATCAAAACTGACTAGAGTAAATAATAGTAAGCTTGAATGATCTATAATCTTTTTTCATAAAACTTTTTTTTTTGTGATAAGATCCTGTAATCTTTAAGGAAAATGGAATTCCACAGTGACGAAAATAGTCACCAACAACACAAATAATTCTAAAAAAATATAATACAAGCCTGGCTGGTGTGGCTCAGGTGGTTATGGACGATAGTTTCAACTTTTTATTCACAAACTGATGGTACGTGTTGACATGGGTGGGTGCAGAGGTCCGGCCTCACCTTTTCCCCACCAAATGCAGAACATCGGTGCTGGGGTGTCTGACAAGTGCTCTCTCTCACTGACCCCTCCCTCCCAGGTCCCCTTCCTTTCTCCTTTCTTCCCTCCCTCAGGTCCCTAACACAATGGCTCTGCCCCAGGAGCCATCTGGAGACCTGACACTAACTTGGCACGCGACCACGGGCTGTCCCTTCACCATTCTGGACCTCAGCGATCGTCTCTCTAAACCGGAGGACACAGGTTTTGCCTGCAGGCAGGGAGGGCTCCCCATCACAGTTGTACTATTTCTCTCTTCTGCATCATCTCCAGCGGAGGACAGGTACACGGCCGCCTCCTCAGGCTCACCTCTGCTCTTTGTCTCTGCTTCAGCTCCTGCTGGGCTGATTTCTGCTTGGCCTTCTCAACGCGGCTGACAGGTTCTTTCACTTTGGACTTTTCTTTACGTGCAGGTGGATCCATGGCTTGGCTTCAGAAGACTCCTTAGTTCTGCCCTGGATGGTACAGAAAGAGGGAACAGAAAGGAAGGAAAGGGAGGGGCAGGGGGAAGGAAAAGAAGGAGGGGGTTAAAATAAAGTTGCCAGTCATTGGCCTAACTGATCCCTTAGCTCCGCCCTCCCCTTTGACAGGTGAGGCCGAGGGGCCGGAGGGAAAGGGCGCTGCATGTGGAGGAGTGAGACCTGGCTCCCCACGCCACGACCTCGCTGGGCGGCTCCACGCACATCTCCCCATCCTGGGCCTTAGTTTTCTGTCTGCAAAATGGGACAATCGTACATTCCCTGAGCTCCTGTGTGAGGAGCGGGGGGAAACCCATGTGAAAGCGTTTCCTATACGGGTGCGTGCTGGACCCGACATGGGCCTGTTGAAGTCAGGGAGACGCCAAGGCCACGGTCTGGGCAAGCCAGCAGGGGAGGCCCGCGCCCCGCGCCGTCGCCAGCCTTCGGCCAGGGCTTCGCCACCTCGGCCCGCGGGACAGCTGCGCGCCGTCCGCCGGCAGGGCCCGCCCCCCGCCGCCCGGCCCGGCCCCAGGGGAGCCTCCCCCACCGCGGCGGGCTCCGGCTGCAAAATGGCGGCGGAGGCGGGCGGCGCTCGGGAATCGCACCTTCCCTCCCCGGCGTCAGGTCTTTGGGCCCCGCCGCGCGGTGGACACCGCCCCGCGAGGGGATCCTCGCCTTCCCCTACCTCCGGCCTCGAGTCCCGAGCGCCGCGCCTCGAGTGGGCGGGGCCTGGGCGGGGCCGGCGCTCCCGAGGCCCCGCCCCCAGGCAGGCCGCGCGTGCGCAGAGGCTTATCTGGATGGCTGGCTTTGGCTCTGGGGCTGGGGGTGGGGCTGGGGCTTGCTGTCTTCTTCTTTTTAAAAAAAAAATATATTTTATTGATTTTTTACAGAGAGGAAGGGAGAGGGACAGAGAGCCAGAAACATCAATGAGAAAGAAACATCAACCAGCTGCCTCCTGCATACCCCCTACAGGGGATGTGCCCGGCAACCAATGTACATGCCCTTGATTGGAATCGAACCTGGGACCCTTCAGTCCGCAGACTGATGCTCCATCCACTGAGCCAAACCGGTTTCGGCAAGGGATTGTTGTCTTTTTGATTTCTAGCTTTAATATTAGGAAGATCAAGTGAGATCCCGTTTGCCACAGTACTTTGAAAAAGGAAATGGTCCACAGTCTGGAAAAAAACCAAAAGGCTGGCTGTCATTTTTCATTCATTAGATTATCAAGGATTGAAGAAAATGGTAGATAAATGTTTTGACAACAGAAATCCTGTTCAGTGCAGCAACAAAAACATCTAACAACAGTAATGCCACTTCTCTTCTGGGCTGTTTATGTTCCAGGCACGCTTCTTAGAGCTTCACATTTCTTAACTCATGTATTTCTTATAATAAGTTTGTGTAATAACGTATATGTATAATAATATATGATTATTGTCCCCATTTTATAGATAGAGGAACAAAGGCATTGAGAAGTTATGTGACTTGTCCAAGGTCACACAGTTAAGTGTCCCAGCAAGTATTTTAGCCAGGATTCTAGGTAAGATAGTGAAAACATATCCAGGCCCATTACTTTGTTTCTTTTGAAACAAATGATGGATGCTAAGCAAACAGGGTGTAGTCTAGATGGACACACAATTTCAAAGTGTAAATTGTCACAACTTGTTGGAAATCAGTTTAGTGCTACATATTGAAAGCCTTAAAAATGAGCACAACCTCACAAATAGACAAAATACTGCATGATCTATTTATATGAGATGTCTAAAGTAATCAAACTGCTGGAAAGTAAAATGGTGATTGCCAGGGGCTGGGAGAGGGGGGGAAAGGAAGTTGTTCAATGGATGGAGAGTTTTTTAAGATGAAAAAGTCCTAGCGATCTGTTACAGGACAGTGTGACTATAAAAATGATTAGGATGGTAAACCTTAAGTGCCTTTTAAAATCAAATTTAAAAAAGAGAATAGCCTGGCTGGGGTGGCTCAGTGGTTGAGGGTAGACCTATGAACCAGGAGATCAGGGCACATGCCTGGGTTTTGGGCTCAATTCCCAGTGTGTGACATGCAGGAGGCAGCCAATCAATGGTTCTTTCCCAGAGAAATTCTTACACATGTGAACCATGAAACATGGATCAAGAATATTCAAAGCAGCCGAAACCGTTTTTGGTTCAGTAGATAGAACATCAGTCTGTGGACTGAAGGGTCTCAGGTTCGATTTCGGTCAAGGGCATGTACCTTGGTTGCGGGCACATCCCCAGTAGGGGGTGTGCAAGAGGCAGCTGATGATGTTTTTAGCTCTCTATCCCTCTCCCTTCTTCTCTATAAAGAATCAATAGAATATATTTTTTAAAAAAAGAATGTTCAAAGCAGCACTGTTTGTAAAAGCAAAAGACCAGACACAGCCCACATTTTTACCATCAAAGAAATGGACAATCTGTTGGTATATTCATGCAATGGTCTACCACACATCGGTGAATGAATGTAGTGAAGCTCTGTGAATTAGTCTGGATGAATTTCAGTGTCTTAATTTGCACTTCACCCAAAGAAGAGTGTTTGAGACAAATCTTTCCATATTTAGGAAGCGATCCCAGGAATCAGAAATGGTGAGAAGAAAAGGAACCAATAAAAGGTGCATTATTGAGCTACTGATGGCTGTGGCCTACTGTGCTCATTCCACTGGGAACTCAGAATATGGTTCAGAACTGTCCCTCTGAGGTGCGAGGCTGGAGCGTTTGCCTCTATCTCCTGTCCCCCCCAGGTTGATCCCCTGAGGTATAACTATCCTGAACCCCTGAGCTGCACACAGATCACTCAGCCATCCCAAACGTTGTAGAGAGCCCGAGTGAGATGAGCAAAGAGCTGCTGTGGCCTTTGGGGTGGCATGCTGGCAGCTTGTTGGCAAGTTTCCGTTACCCTGAGATCGAGTGGGTTGAGGGACATGGCTTGGGCCACCATAGGTGTCAGCTAGGCTCAGAAAGGAATGTTGACTGAAAAAAGGAAATTACAGTATAATAAATTAGGTATAATGTGCTTCATTTTTATAAGGTTGAAAAATATGTAAAGGTATATAATGCTTTGGGGTTTCCCCCATATATATTTTATTATTTAAATATTCTGTGATATGTGCTTCTTATAAAAACCATGAAGAGTAAAAGTGAAAGTTTCCTCTCTCTCCACTCCCATCAATTTCATTGCCTTTTCCAGAAAGAACCATTTTTAAAATTTATTTTTTGCACTGACCGGTTTGGCTCAGTAGATAGAGCATCAGCCTGCGGACTGAAGAGTTCTGGGTTTGATTCCGGTCAAGGACATGTACCTTGGTTGTGGGCACATCCCCAGTGGGGGGTGTGCAGGAGGCGGCTGATTGGTGTTTCTCTCTCATTGATGTTTCTGACTCTCTATCCCTCTCTTTTCCTCTCTGTAAAAAATCAATAAAGTATATTTAAAATTTTTTTTTTTTATTTAAAGATTGTGTATTGGGCAAAAAATGAAAAAGGATCCCAAGTCAAATTTATAGAAAATATTCCTTTATTAACTTTTGGTCAAGAATATGTTTGTATATTTTCAGAAAACAACTCCGAGATCACTTAGATTCCAGCAACAGAGAAAAATTGATAGGACTACTCCAACCATGAAGACAGAAGAGAAGCAGTCCAGAGATGGAAGACGCTGACGACATCTTGCCATAATAGCAGTCAGCAGCTGTGTATCACTGCAGGTTGCCCAGGACCAAACCAGAGAGGGTTGGACCGGCATTACCACCATTTGTCCACCATCCAGAACTGAAATAGCATTGCTGACATCTACACATCAGGAACTGTTTGACATTGAATTTGAGTCTCAAAAGAACTGTTGGCCCAGAAAGAAACTCACTACAGACTGATTCATTTGCCTTTTAGCATAACCATTATTGCTTGTCTCATTTTTGATTATTATAAGTATATTTCCAGTAGGACATGATCTCACTCATCTAGGGGAAATGGTGAACAACATAGACTGATGAACAGGAACAGACCTAGAGATAAGGAGCCATGGGTCAGACTGTTGAACCTCAAAGGGAGGGTGGGGGTAAAAGGGAGAGATCAACCAAAGGACTTGTGTACATACATATGAGCTTAACCAGCGGTCAAGGACAATAGGGGAGTGGGGGCATGAGTGGGGAGGGGTGAAGGATTGGAATGGGGGTTTGAGGACAAATATGTGATACCCTAATTTAAAATTTTGAGAATAATTAAATTAAATCAATAAGAAATTAAAAAAAATTGTGTACAATAGTTTATACACAATCTTGTATTGGTTATATTACTTCCAGGTGTACAATGTAGTGATTTGACATTTTTATACCTTACTATATGATCACCTCACTAATTCTAGTAATCATCTGTCACGTGTGCATTTATCACAATTTTATTGACTCTATTCCCCTTCACTTTTTTCATTCATCCCTCCACACAATCCCTTTTGGTAACCATCCTGTTAGTCTCTATTTCTCTATGAGTCTGTTTTTGTTTTGTTTGCTTGTTTTGTTTTTATAATTCATTGTTTGGGATTGTTAAGGATCAATTATGGATGTTATGAATATACAATTATGGATATTATGAAAGCTGCCAAGACAGGCAGGAAAGGGTTTATCACATCTTGGTAGACAGTAAGCAGGTCTGCTTGTCGGGAAGCACACGTCAGGGTGCAGCTGGAGATAAGGGTAGTGAGTTAGAGGAGGTGGCTAATGGGTAGATGTTTTTGAAACCCATCTTCAATTTTACTCAGATTTGGAAAGTAAATGGGAGCAAGCTTTGCAGAAAGGGTGCTTTAGGGACAAAACTTATGAAAAGGAATCGCTTTGCAGTTAGCTGGGGAGGGGAAGGGTGTGAGGGCCAAAGGTCCCTGACACCCGGTGGCACTTGGAGTTTCCCTCGCATTTTTTAGGGAGGCCTCTCTTTGCTCTGTTCCTTTATCAGGGGCGGACAGGCAGGGCGGAGCTTGTGGTGTTCAGGAGCAGCTTGAAGGGAGTCTGTGGGACAGACGAGGGAGCCCCGGGCTGAGGGCTGCGGGCGTTAGAATGAAAGGAGAGCTTTTCCTAGGCCCACCTCCAGAGCCCTTCCTGACCCCGCTGCCTGATGCCTGACCTCCCTGGATGGATGGAGGGAGGGTCCGCAGCTCGGAGACTCCAGCTCTGCCACACAAAGGGCCCTTGATCCCAAAGGTGGTGAGTGCTCCTCCCTTTCCCCTTCTTCATTCTTTTCAGTCCTTTAACGTTCTCAGGATCTTCAGGTTCGTTGGAGAAGCTATCCCCTTTCTCCTTACTCAGAAAAACAGTTAACAATATAAATATACACACATACTTTTATTGATTTCAGAGAGGAAGGGAGAGGGAGAGAGAGATAGAAACATCAGTGTTGAGACAATCACTGATCGGCTGCCTCCTGCATGCCCATTCTGGGGATCGAGCCCACAACCTGGGCATGTGCCTTGACTGGACATTGGACTGTGACCTCCTGGTTCATAGATCGATGCTCAACCACTGAGCCATGCTGGCCGGGCACAAGCCATTTTAAAGGACGAAACGAGGCAATGGGGAATGGGAAGCACAAAAGGGGAAGAGTGACAAGGAGCCTGGGTGGGTTTTGTCTAAAGACTCTCATTCAAGTATTATTGTCATTATCATTATTATTATAGCTGTCATTAACCTAGTCCTTACTCTTAGCCAGGTTCTGTGCTGTGTGCTTTCAGACTGGTCATTTGTAGATTTGCAGGGTCTTCTGAAGTTACATGGAGTTATTAAAGGAACTTCTGCTGTACTGCTTTTCTTCACCCCTAGAAGTAACCACTGTTTACTCTCTACACTCTTGCCTTTTTGCTAAGCATCTTCTCCTTAAATTGTATCATACTATCCATAGCTTTTTAAAGTTACTGTTTGGGTTACAGTGAAAACTTCCCAAATGCTCATTAAAATAAATAAATAAATAAATAAATAAATAAATAAATAAACATATATATATATATATATATATATATATATATATATATATATATATATATTGATTTCAGAGAGGAAGGGAGAGGGAGAAATAGAAACATCAATGATGGAGAATCATTGATCAGCTGCTTCCTGCACACCCCTTACTGAGAATCAAGCTCACAACCCAGGCATGTGTCCTTGATGGGGATCAAACCTAGGACCCTTCAGTCCGAAGGCTGATGCTCTGTCCACTGAGCAAAACCAGCTAGGGCCCAAATGCTCTTAAAGATTGTTTTAGGCTGAAACCAGTTTGGCTCAGTGGTAGAGCGTCGGTCTGCAGACTGAAAGGTCCCAGGTTTGATTCCGGTCAAGGGCATGTACATTGGTTGCGGGCACATCCCCAGTAGGGGGTGTGCAAGAGGCAGCTGATCGATGTTTCTCATTGACGTTTCTAGCTCTCTATCTCTCTCCCTTCCTCTCTGTAAAATATCAATAAAATAAATATATATTTTTAAAAAGATTGTTTTAGCATGTGTGTACGAAATGCTGTATAGTATTTCATTGCAAGGATGTGCAATATTTAGTTAATCATTCCCATTTTAGTGAACTTTTAGGTTGTTTTTAATTTTTCCTTTTCATAAGAAGCTTTGTGATGAGCATCCTCACCAACAAATCCTTATGCACATCCTTATTTATTTCCATAGGATTCTTTTCTGGAAGTAAAATTACTGGATTAAAACTTTCACATATTTATGTCACTTGATCCTTATTGCTAAATTGCCCTCACGAAAGTTGATTTACATTGGGCAAGAGAGTCATTTTCCCACATGTGTAACTCTGGGCATTATCATTTTTTTAATATTTGATAATTTCAGGGAAGACAAAACCATATCTAACTGTGGTCTTAATCTGCACGTCCCTGATGACAAGAGTGGAAAAGTCCGTTTCTGGTGTCATCCTCTCCTGGGCTCTTTGCCTCTCTGGCTGCTTAACAGTGACGTGAGGACGTGCTTCAGGGAGACTCCCTGGCTGAAACCACCTCGGTGCCCTTGTCACCCAGAGTGACCATCTGATGGAAAGTCTTCACTTGCCTTTATATATGCATAATTTTTAATTGATTTTTAAAATATATATATTTTATATATATTTTATTTTATTTTTATTTTTTAAAATATATTTTATTGATTTTTTACAGAGAGGAAGGGAGAGAGATAGAGAGAGAAACATCAACCAGCTGCCTCTTGCACATTTACTGGGAATGTGCCCGCAACCAATGTACATGCCCTTGACCGGAATCGAACCTGGGACCTTTCAGTCCGCAGACCGACGCTCTACTGCTGAGCCAAACCGGCTTCGGCTATTTTATTTTATTTTTTTGGATTTTTTTACAGAGACGAAGGGAGAGAGATAGAGAGCTAGAAACGTCGATTAGAGAGAAACATTGACCAGCTGTCTCCTACACACCCCCTACCGGGATGTGCCCGCAACCAATGTACATGCCCTTGACTGGAATCGAACCTGGGACCTTTCAGTCTGCAGACCGATGCTCTACCACTGAGCCAAACCGGTTTCGGCTTCACTTGCCTTTTTATTCTTAGAATGTGGTGCAAATCACTTCACGTGTGTTTTCTATGAGTCCTTACTGTAGCCCTATCTACGAAGTAGGTACTATCATTAACTCCATTTCACGTGTGAATGAGAGAGGATTGGGAGGAGTAAACTAGACTGTCGCAGGCATCTTCAAACTACGGCCCGCTGGCCACATGCGGCCCGCAGAGGAGTCTGATCCGGCCCGCCAGGTTTTTTGGGCAGTGAGCGCAGCCGAGGTGTTACAGTAGGAATTAGTAGTTCATATAGTCCGGCCCTCCAGCTCTCTGAGGGACCGTGATCTGGCCCCCACTTTAAAAAGTTTGAGGACCCCTGGAAGGTCACGCAGCTGGTAATGGCGGAGCCGGGGCCTGGCCCCAGGCTGACCGCAGAACCTGTCCTCTTGATCACAATAAACAATCCGAATTTAGGGTGAGGGGACTATGGTGGGGGGAGGGCCCCTCTTATTTGACGTCAGGCAGCCCTGGCTCGGTTTGGAGCTCCGTGCTACTCTGGGCATGTCCACTCAGGGTGTGTTTCAAAAGCACCTTTTAATTGAGGGTGTTGGGGTTTGGGGTAACTCCAGGGGATCCTGGGCCCTGCCTGCTTCCACCTTCAATAATAATTGATAAGGTAGAGAGCTTTTCTCATTTACCGATCTTCTGTTCAGTTTCTGAGTAGCTGGCAACCTGCAGAAAAATGAGTGGGATTGAAGCAAAAAAATATATATATCCTAACTATAATCTTAACCTCACTGTGTCCTAGTGTTATGGGGCCATTTGTGGCAATTTAAAAAAAATGTTTTCATTGATTATTTTTTTAGAGAGAGGAAGGAAAGGGATAGAAGGATAGAGACATTGATGAAAAACGTCGAACAGCTGCCTTCTGCTCGCCCCCTACGGGGGATCGAGCCTGCAATCCTGTCATGTACCCCGATCAGGAATTGAACCAGGGACCTCTTGGTTCATGGGTCGATGTTTAACTACTGAGCTTCACCAGCTGGGCTGCGGCAAGTTCCTCACATGCTCTCGAACCCTCACAGTCCCTGGAAGAAGGGTCCTCCTTTATAGACGAAGACCTGGAGATCCACAGATGTTAGACAACTCTCCAGGAACACAACACTAGTACCTGGGGGAGCTGACACTTGGACCCAGGTCTTTCTAACTCCAGACCCTGAGTTTGTAAGATCGGTGTCTTCATTATGAAATGGAGGGACCTCAGTGCCTTGATTTGTTCTTTCTCAAGAGTCAAACCGAGAAGGCCAGCAGGGAAGAGCTCCAGGCCCCACTGCGGGTGGAAAATTGGCCTGGAGACCTTCCCAAACTTGGCCTGGGACCTGGGACCCTAACGCAAAAAGAGGTCACTACTCTGGTCCTTACCAGGTTAGTTCTGGGCAAAAATTCTCCACCTTCCAGAATCCTCCCTATGCCTTCCAGGGCACACCTTGGTTCTCCCTCATGGCATTTATAGCCTTAACCATGAGCTCTTTCCTCCTTCAATGCTCACAATAACTCTGCAAGAAGGCACATTTATATCCTTTTTAAAGATGGAAGAAGAGAGTTTCAGGGAACAGCCACACTGTTACACGGAGGTAAATAGCGAAGCTGGAACTTGAATTCTGGTCTGGGTGGTCCCAGAGCACCTGCTCTGCTGCCTCCACCTCCTAGGTTGTAGCTTTCCCACATCAAGCTTGCCAACCTTCTCTGGTGTCTCCCTGTCTGTCCTCCTAGTTCGGATGGAGACAGCAAGTTCCTCCTGCTCCTGGCTCTCCAGCTGCCTCATCACCCTGGCCTTCCTGCAGCTGCCCATCCACGTGTCAGGTAGGAGTTCCTGACCTCCTTCCCTGCCTGGGCCATCTGACCCAGGCCTTCTTTCTTTCGGGGTTCTGTCCGAACCCCAGTCCTTTCCAATGCCCTTCCCAGACTCGCTAGGAGCCTTTCCCCAGGTGATCTCCATCTCCATCATCCAGCATCCCTCCCAGACTGGGTCGTCCCTTTCTTGTTTCCACCGCACAGGAGAGTCCGGCCAGTTCCACCTGGCGCCGCTAGGGGGCACAGCCAGGCTGCTCTGCCCGCTCTCGCTCTGGTCCGTCCCGGCGCTCACGGAGGTGCGATGGCTGCGGTCCCTGCCCCGGCGGCGCTCCCAGGTGGTCCACGTGTTCCGGGAGGACAAGGTCCGCGAGGAGGACGTGGTGCCGGAGTTTAAGGGGAGGACGGCGCTGGAGAGGGACGCGCTGGAGGGAAACGTCACGCTGGAGATCCGCCACGTCCGGCTGGAGGACCGGGGGCCGTACCGGTGTCAGGTCCGCATCGCCAACCTGAGCCGGGAGGGCACCGTGGTCCTGCAGGTGGCAGGTGGGTCCTCTTCAGAGGGGGGCGGGTGATGGATGCCGTGCCGGGCGGAGGAGGGTTTGGCGAGGTGCTAGCGTGCAGCCGGATACCGACTCATCCCTTGGGGTGGGCTGGGGAGAGAGCAGGCACCGGAGCAATGAACGGCCCACCCCCTGCTCCCCAGAAGCCGCCTTGGAATCCAGAGGAGGGCCCTGGCGGGGTCCGGGATCTTGCCAAGGCCCTGCCAGCGGCCTTTCCTTTCCAGTTCTAGGCTCCGACCCTTACATCCACGTGAAGGGCTACGACGCGGGATGGATCCAGCTGGTGTGCAGGTCGGCGGGCTGGTTCCCACGGCCGTGGGCCGAGTGGAGAGACCCTCACGGCAGGGTGCTTCCATCGGAGCCCCAGGCCCTCTCCCTGGACGATGCGGGGCTCTTCGAAACGGCCGTCTCCAGCAAAGTCAGGGACAGCACCGTGGGCAGCGTGTCCTGCACCATCCGCAACGATGCCCTGGGCCAGGAGAAGACCACGGCCATGGTCATAGCAGGTACCCGCTGGGGCAGAACACAGGCTCCAGAGAAAACTCCTACCCGAGTGCAAACTTTATAAAGAATTTTTGAATTTTTTAAATACTAAGAATAACACATTTATTTATTTTTTTAAATTAGAATAACACATTTATTATAGAAAACTTTAAAAAAATACAAGATATTTTTTAAAAAAATCAAAAGTAAAAGAAAAAAAGGCCTGATTTCATAAACTGGAGAGAGCCACTGCTAACATTTTGGGGCATTTCTTTAGAATTTCTTTCATGGGTGCATCTCTGAGTGTGTATTGATATATATACATATGTGTATTCTTTCATATGTATATTCTTCTGTCTAGATGTTTTCCCCTCCACTTACAAGGCCGTGAACATTTTTTTGCCCATGTCCTTAAGCAGTTCTCTGCACCGGATTTTAAAGGGCCACATAGTATTTCGTGGTGTGGGTATAGCATAGCAAAATTAATCAGAGCCCTATTTCTTGATATCTGGATGGTTTGGACTTTTCCTGTAACAGTGCAGTGAACAACTTTGCACATAATTTGGGAACTGATTCTGATTATTTTCTTAGAATGTGTTCCTAGAAGTAGAATAATGCATCAAAGGGTTAGGAACCTTTTCAAGACCCTTGACACATGGAGCCATGTGGCGGAGAAGCCAGGAAAGAAAGAGTGTGGCCTGGGGCCAAGGGGAGGAAGGATCACTGCCATCGGCTAAGCCCTTCCTTTCTCTCTCTCACCTCTCCTCTCTTCCTACTGCACTGCCTCTCATCGGTGCTGAGCACTTTACACCCTCCTCTCTAAGTCTGTCACAGCCCAGTGGGATTGGGCTTATTCCAATCCCCATTTCACAGATGACGAGCCAGGCTTGGAGAGGCTCAGTCTCCTGCCGAGGGTCCCACGGAGGATGAGCGAGGACTCACACCCCACTTAGACTCTTTGCCACGTGTCATAGTGCTTCCTCTGCTCCTTTTTTGTCTCTATTTCTTCTTTCCTTTCTCCTGTCCGGGCTCTAGGCCTGCTGCTGTAGCCCCACAGAAGTAGCTTTGCCCCCGCTGACACAGCTCAGGGCAAAGGGGTTGCTTATGGCTGTTCCCCAGCAGAGTGAGGACTTGAGGCGGAAGGCGGGTGCTGCTCAGGGAAGACTGCAGGTGATTACTTCGGAAGCACCTCCAGTTCCTCAAAGATAACGTTTCCTCTGGAATGATAGGGTGGGATGAGGTTGTGATTGGGAAGCTGAGTTTCACACATTGTCTTCAGGTAGGACCATCAAAACCACTCCTCAGAGATGACCATCTGGCTGTAAAGTCATCCTTAAGTCATCCATGGTTTGAGGTACTTAGAGAAGCAAACACCCTCACCTATCTTGGCTGGAGGTCTCTCCCTAGAGTAAGGTGACCAGATGCCCCGCTTTTGGCGGTACTGTCCCGATTTTAACCATTTGTCCCGGGGCGTGGGATTTTTTTTTTTTAAGTTTTTTTTTTAAAATATATTTTATTGATTTTTTACAGAGAGGAAGGGAGAGAGATAGAGAGCTAGAAACGTCGATGAGAGAGAAACATCAAACAGCTGCCTCCTGCACACTCCCCACCAGAGATGCGCCCGCAACCAAGGTACATGCCCCTGACCGGAATCGAACCCGGGACCCTTCAGTCCACAGACCAACGCTCTACCACTGAGCCAAACCGGCTTTGGCAGGACGTGGGATTTTTAACAATTTGTCCCAAAAGCGGGACGTCTGGTCACCTTACCCTAGAGGTGACAGAGACCAATGGGACGTGCCTGAGCCACCTTCCATATGAGGTAGGGTCCTTGGCCTGGAAGAAGCTCTGAGATACCTCCTGAGGGTGGTCACCTTTGGTTCTGTTTCAGCCCCATCTCCAGGGAGGATCTCCCCCTTAGCAGTGGCTCTTGCTGTGGTCCTGGCTGTCCTGGGGCTTCTCCTCATGGCAGGCATTTGTGTCATCTGGAAGCAAAGACGATCAAAAGGTAACCAAGCAGTAAAGGGGCCCAGAGTGGCAGGAAGTGGGACTGTAGCTTATCAGGAAAAGGCTGGGATGAGGGAGACATAGCTGTGCTGGCTACCCATAGGTTGCAGATTCTGCAAATTTTCTGGTAGGACAATGCCCTGGGGACTCTCAATGCAGAGAAGATCCAAGAAACTGCAGAAAGTTTTGGGGAAGAGTTATGAATTCTCAGCTTTTGAGAAATTAAAAATAACTGATCATGACAATCCTCTAATTAATTTAAAAAAATCAACTCTATCCATTGGATAAAACCCTCATAAATAGAATTGCAACTCACAGGATCTCAAGGTTGTATGGCACCTTGAAAGTCACATAAGCCAACACCCCTTTCCCTAGCTGCTGGTTTGAAGACCCTCTAATCCTTTCAAATGGTCACGTACTCACAGAGACAAGGAGCCAAGTCCTGCTCAGGCAGCTTGTTGTCCCCGGACAACTCTGGTCATTAGAAAAAGCTCTTCCTTAAGCTGTGCTGATGTCTCTCTCTCCCCCTTCCAGAGAAGCTTCTCTATGAACAGGTGGTGGAGGTAGGTAAGTGTCCTGGATGGGTGGGGATGTTTCTCTGTTTTACTCATTTTTATGACTCCAGTGTCCACTAATATACATTCTATGCCGGGAAATCCCAACATCTGAGAGTGTTTGCTGACTCTGACTTGTTATAGCTTATCTTTCAGTGTTTGTTGAGTTTTGTCTGTGGACTCATTGCTTGATCTTATTCTGGGTGAGTTGTGTAGGTCTAACATGGGGGAAGCTTTTATTCATTCAACAAATAATTGATAATTATCTGCTAAGGGCCCTGGACTAGACTAAATGCCGGAAATACAATGGTGAGTCATAGCAGGCAGTCTTTGCCACTGGGAGCTTTCCAAGGTCTATTGAATGAAATAATTGCACAAATCAAAGTAGAAGTACAGCCATACAAATGCCACAAGTGGAAGTTCTGGAGGCTGTGAAGATTATGATCAGGAGGAACTAACCGAGCTTCAGGGACAGGAGGAGAGTCCCCAGAGGAAGTGATGTTTGATCTGGAGGAGGGGGAGGCATGGGGGGAGAGGGAACAGAAAACTACCCACAGAGAAAGCACAGCTAGAGAACAGTGCAGAAGTGAAGGGGGAGCGGATAGGGGGCCAAGCTGCAGATGTAGGCAGGGCCAGGCCGTGTGAGGCCTTGGAAGGTGTGTGGAGAACCTCAGTCTTTCTCTCCCGGGTGGAGGTAAAGCGGTGAGTGGGATATCTTGATCAGAACTGTGCTTTGAGCAGCTTTCTCTGGCTGCAGTGTTGGGAAGAGACCAGAAGGAGCAAGACAGGGTTGGAGGCCATTTGAGCTACTAGTTCCGTCATCCAGACGAGAGAGGATGAGGGCCTGGATTAGGGAGGTAGCAACGGTGGTAGAGGGGAACAGGTTTAAAAGCAGGTAAAATCGGTAAGAATCAGGGACCTTCAAGGTTAATGTCGCAGAATCCCATTTTTTATTTTTTTGTTATTACTTTTCTCCCTCTAGAAACTCTTCTCGAAGACCATGCAAAAGAAAAAGGTAATTATATGAAGGGGGTAGGGAACAATTAACATATTCTTTCCCCTCCTACATAAATGCTCACAGTCTATTATTACACATACATGATGCAGGTATATACACACACATATTCCCCATTAATATTATTGGAATTTTCTTTCCAGTGTGGGGGGCTATGGGGTAGGTGGCAGTGGATGAGGGGATGCTCATAGTAAAAAGTCATAGGGTCTGAATTACCAGGAGCTCCTTCTTTCAGCCTTTCCACCAATCACCTAACCAGGTCTCTATTCAATTTAAAATCTATGAATGTGCCCATCTGGGATGTATGAGAATCTCGAGGATCCATACAGCATTTGCATCTAGACAGGTGATGACACAGTGGGAGCCCCACAGGCTTTCGAATCAGCGACACCTGGTCAGGTCACTGGTCTGACTCGGATGTGTCGATTCACCGCTATGACCTTTGGTTTCCTCGTCTGTAAAATGGGATTAAGAATCCCCTTGCCCGATTGTTTTCAGGGTTTACAGAGACAACTTGAAGAAAAAAAACTCTTCTATTGTAGTGCCTGGTGCTCCTCTTCCTTATTGCCATTTCATCTTCATTAACTGAATGTTTGCTCTGGGCTATTGAGGGTATAAGTTTGACATCCAGGGTACAAAACACAGGCAGGCTCTGCCCCTTAAAAATCTAGCTGAGAATACAAGTCGCTGGCTCAGAGATGGTACACATTCAGTGATTTTGGCCTCTCCTCTCCTCCTCTCTCGCATGCCCCTGACGTTTTAGTCCAGCGGGTGGAAGTGTGGGGCGCACGCAGTAGGGGCCTGTGGCTGCTCTGTCCAGGAGCAGAAAGCACAGCGTGGTGCAGGGGCCAAGGCCTCTGACTAGGAGTCAGACACACTTGGACTTGAAGCCTGACTCTTTGGCCACTTACTAAATGGATGACCTGGGCAAATTCCATGTCCCTCTGAGCTTCAGACCTGGGAACAATAATTCTACGCACCTTACATTGTCAAGAGGGTTCAGTACCTTCATCATTATGAGAACAGGACACCATACATGGAGGCTAATAGTAGTGGAAATATAATATGTCAATATTATATATAAATAATATAATGTATACATAACACAATCAATCATTAATAGAATGATTAATCATTATATAACTATAACATTAATAAGATTAATAACATTAATATAGACATAAACCAACGGCTCCTGAGGGGCCATATATCCAGCTTCATTGCTGCAGTGCCTAATGATTAACACATGCTCAGTCCTTAGCACAGGACTTGGCAGTGGACTTGAACGCATAACTTCAATTCTCTGGCAGGGCCAATGCTCCCGGAAGCATGTGAAGCATATACATATATACATCCATATATTCATATATATCCATCCATATACATACACACACACACACACACACACACACACATCCACACACATCCATATACATACATCCCACACCATCTGGAATCTCCAAGTCTGTGAGTCTCTCCGTAGGACTTCAGGAGAGTTACTGTCCAGAGTGATAGAGCCATGCCCACAAGTCAATGCTAGGTCTTCGCTGGAGATATTACAAACAGTAGGCTATAAAAGGGCAGCAAGGCACACTCTCATGTACACATGGTTACAAACATATGGGAACACTCCTTCAGACAGCGGAAATGGAACCAGATGGAAAGGAAGGAGGAGCCTGGTCTCTGGGAAAGTGGCCCCAGCTCCACTGCTTCCCCAGTCTGCCTTCGGGAGGCGAGGGCCCCAGCAGCTGCCAGGAATGTCATCCTTTCCACGGTGGGGGGATGGGGGTGAGCCTCCCTGGGCTCAGGGATAAAGCAGAGCCTCTGCTCACTCAGGCCTCTTTCTCTGTTTTTCAGGAAGGCTCCACAAAGCCCTCAGTAAGTCCCGCTCCTCGTCCGTGGCACGGACCTCCTCCTGCCAACATCTCCGCTTTAGGATGGGTGTCTCAGTTTCACGTCCTGGGGCAGAAGAGAGGGGTCAGGGTGCTTTACACCATGGGGTTGGAGACTTCTCTCTTCTCAAATATTCCCTGCTCCTCTTTCCTGCACAACAATTAACTAGTCCAGCGGTCGCCAACCTTTCAGACCTCACGGACCATCACTAGGTCCCAGTCTCTGAGTGGGAAATGTTAATCAGGAAGAGAGGCAGCTCCTCAGGGGAAGCCACCTGGAAGACCTTTTATCGCCAGGCGTGGCATGCCCTTCGGTGGGATCCCAGGCAAGGGGTCCCCATTAAACTGAACACTTGGAGCAGCGTTTCTCCACCCCATGTACGAGACCCTCTTTAGTACGAAAGAAGAATCTTCAGACATGACATGTCTACTTTGTTTTACCTTGATTAAGTGAACACAAGAAAACCTAATGGAAATTCAGTGATAGTCTTTGTTTGTTAATCCCCACCCAAGGATATTTTCCCATTGCTTTTCAGAGAGAGTGAAGGGGAGGGTGGGAGGGAGGGAGAGAGAGAAACATCGATGTGAGAGAGACACATTAACTGGTTGCCTTCCAGATGCCCTCACAGGATGGGGTGGGGGCAAACCACAACCCAGGTACGTGCCCTTGACCATGATTGAATCCGCAACCCTTCAGTGCAGGCGCCAACATTCTAACCATTGAGCAACACCAACCAGGGTTCCATGATAGTTTTAAATGAGCTTATATTTTATTGTTCTCTCACAATATCTACATATATTACATATATTACCTAGATGCGTGAGATGTGTTATTCAGTGAGTCGTGGTCAGGTTTGGCTTACTTGGGAATGTGCTGGCCCTCTGCAGAGTATCTCTGGAGACTCCTGGGGCGGGGCTGGGGTGGTCAGGGTATTGCTAGAGAGGGTCTGGTGTGGGAATGTGGTTGGGAGGGGGCCGCAGCATTATGGAAATGTGGAAGCCCTCCTTCTGATTGGTCAAACTGTTTTTATTCTTTAGAGAAACTCCGGAGTGAACTGAGTAAGTTTCCCATGTCGTTCCATACTGAATTCCCTCCTGCTGATTCTATATTTTCAGTGATAAGCTCACCCCTCCTGTTTCTTTTTTTACAGAGTTGAAAAGAGCTGCAGCCAACTCAGGTGAGATGCACTTTCTGGGCGCCTGGCTCCGCCTTTTGGGGGTTCTCCTTGTCTCCTTCCCGTTTACAATCCCTTTTCTGTCTTTCAGGCTGGAGAAGGGCCCGGCTGCACTTCGGTAAGTTACCCCAGGCAAACCCAGCTACATTTCAGAGCCCAGAGCTCTGTTCCTTTGGGATGCAGACTGTCTTTTTGTTTTGTTTCATTTTTGTTTTTTTGTTTTTTTTGTTAATCAAACCTATTTACCTGCTTATCAAACTAAAAAAATAAATAAGTCTTTGTGACTTCTTTTGTGGGAGGGCTCAGTTAGACTTAGAAAGTATATTGGTTATTTGTATGTCTTCTCCATGACTTGTCTGCTCTTATCCCTATTCTGGCTATGCTATTTGATATGTGAGGATTCTTCCTATATAAATTGTAGAAGCTCTGTCCTATTCCTCCCAAATTATTTTTCTGAGTTTTTCATTTGCATTTTAATTTCCTTATATTATTTCTAGTGTCTTGTTTTTATGTAGTCCAATTAAAAAACCTTTTCCTGGCCGAAACCGGTTTGGCTCAGTGGATAGAGCATCAGCCTGCAGACTGAGAGGTCCCAGGTTCAATTCCGGTCAAGGGCATGTACCTGGGTTGCGGGCACATCCCCAGTGGGGGGTGTGCAAGAGGCAGCTGATTGATGATTCTCTCTCATCAATGTTTCTGACTCTCTATCCCTCTCTCTTCTTCTCTGTGAAAAATCAATAAAATATATTTAAAACAAACAAACAAACAAACAAAACAAAACCTTTTCCTGTGTAGTTTCCTCTGTGCTTTCAGGTTTTAGAAGTCCTTCTTATCCCACTGTTGGGTAAATAGCCAGTGTTCCTCTGTCAGTATCCACATCTGCCACACTCTCCTTGCTTTGAGGTTGGTGATTGAGGTTCTCAGAGAAGAAGGGGAAGGGCTAGGCAGGCGCCTCAACTTTGTAGACTACGAACGGTTTTGTAGTTTATGCTAAAAGATTTGTGCATCTCTCTTAATTTATTCCGAAATATTTGCATTTTTTTTGCTGCTGTTTCAATGAGATCTGTTAATTTCCCTGATTGGGTCCTTGTCAATTTTCCAATCTGTTCATGCCCCTTTTGTTCACTCCCCTTTCCTTCAGGCAAGTGTAACTGATGAGTTGGCCGCTTGAGAGCACACCAGGTCACCTCCGTTGCCATTCTGGGAATTCACAAGTCTTTCTCACACTCACAGTCTGGCTTATTCCCACCACCTGGGCAAAACACACATTTTACAGATTTAACTTTCCAAGAAGTGTCCTGGGGGAAGACTCACCATGACCTTCCACAATTTTAAGAAAGAATCCTTCTTTCTCAATTAACATTTACTAGTAAAAATAATAATTATGAGCAATAATTTCAGTGAACAAAATGAGCATCACACATTGGATGCTCATTGGAAGGAGGCACTACCTCATCAAATGTGCACAACAGCTTGACAACATAGGGTCTGCCATTGTTCCCATTTTACAGATGAAGAAACTAAGGTTTGGAGATGAATAGCAGGCCCCAGGCCACATAACTAGCATGTGGCAGAGCTGGGATTTCAACTTGCAGTGTGGCTTCTGGGTCTGACATCAGAGCCAAGGTTTATTATCCTGCATAGCTCCCTTCGGACCATTGAGGACAAAGGCAGTATTCCCTAAGGCAGGGGTCGGCAAACTCTGTAGTCAACAGAGTGCCAAACCACAGCTCTTGAGCTGCCTGTGACTCTCGAGCCGCAGTTTGTCGACCACTGTGAGGGATTAAGGCAGCTTCACAAAGGACAACTTTCTCCTGTTTTATTAAACACATGACCAGGAGATCTAGGAGACCAGAAAACGCTTTTCTTTCTTTCTTAAAAAAAATAAAAATAAATAAATAATAATAATAATAATTTTTTTACAGAGAGGAAGGGAGAGGGATAGAACATTAGAAATATCAATGAGAGCCGAGATCGGTTTGGCTCAATGGATAGAGCGTCGGCTTGGGGACTGAAGGTTCCCGAGTTAGATTCCTGTCAAGGGCATGTACCTTGGTTGCGGGCATATCCCCAATGGGGGGTGTGCAAGAGGCAGCTGATCGATGACTCTCTCTCATTGATGTTTCTAACTCTCTATCTTTCTCCCTTCCTTTCTGTACAAAATCAATAAAATATATATTTTAAAAAAAGAAAAAAAAAAGAAATATCAATGAGAGAGAAACATCGATCAGCTGCCTCCTGAGCACCCCCCACTGGAGATGTGTCTGCAACCAAGGAGCATGCCCTTGACCCGAATTGAACCTGGGACCTTCCAGTCTGCAGGCCAATGCTCTACCCACTGGGCCAAACCAGTTTTGGTTTTTAAATATATTCTATTGATTTTTCACAGAGAGGAAGGGAGAGAGAGAGTCAGAAACATTGATGAGAGAGAAACATTGATCAGCTGCCTCCTGCCTCCTGCACACCCCCCACTGGGAATGTGCCCGTAACCAAGGCACATGCCCTTGCCCGGAATCGAACCCTGGACCTTTAAGTCCGCAGACCGACGCTCTATCCACTGAGCCAAACCGGCTAGGGCGACACTTTTTTCTGGTTCGGGTACAGATGGGGTAGAAGGAATCATACACTAAAATGGGTCCAAGGACAGGGGTTGCTGATCCCAGAGGTGATCTTCCCCGTCCAAAGCCACCCAACGGTCCTGTGAGCCCCAGCCCTCCCAAACCTCTCCTCTCTGTCCCTCTCTCTCTCTGTAGTTGCCGTGACCCTGGACCCCGACACCGCGCACCCCAAGCTCATCCTGTCGGAGGACCGCCGGTGCGTGAGGCTGGGGGACCGCAGGCAGCCTGTGCCCGACACCCCACAGCGGTTCGACTTCGTGGTCAGCGTGCTGGGCGCTGAGGCCTTCGAGGCCGGCTGCCACTACTGGGAGGTGCTGGTGGCCGACAAGACCAAGTGGATCCTGGGCGTGTGCCGCGAGGCGGTGAGCCGCAAGGGCAAGGTCACGGCCTCGCCCGCCAACGGGCACTGGCTGGTGCGGCAGAGCCGCGGCGCCCAGCTCGAGGCGCTCACGTCCCCGCAGACCCCGCTGCGCCTGCGGGAGCCCCCGCGCTGTGTGGGCGTCTTCCTGGACTACGACGCGGGCGTCATCTCCTTCTACGACGCCTCCGACCGGTCCCACATCTTCACCTTCACCCACGCCGCCTTCTCCGGGCCGCTCCGCCCCTTCTTTGAACCCTGCCTGCACGACGGAGGGAAGAACACGGCCCCTCTGGTCATCTGCTCGGAGCCCCACACACCGGAGGAGCCCGTGGCCCCCAAGCCCGAGGGGAAAGGCCACGCCAACGGAGACGTGGCCCTCAAGGTGGACCCTTCCCTCCGGCCCTGGTCCCCTGATCTGGGACCGGCGCTCCAGGGGCTCAAGGTTCCCTCTTTTTAGGGAGCTGCTCCCCGACCATCCATCCGGTCCAGGGCTCCCTGGGTTTCAGACTCCTGGCCCCACCCTGGCCTCATCTGGACCAGCTCACCTCCTTTCCCCAAGTCCAGACCCGTTTGTGGTTTCTATTCGTGTAATCATCTTTCTCCGGTTTCTGAACCCTGTCCCCTTTCGGGGACTTGAAGTTCTCATTGCCTCGGAAAAATTCTGGAAAACCAAGTGAGCAATCAGAATTAGGGCTGGGTGGGGATGATGAGTGTGTGTCTGAGATCCGGGGTTCTCTGTTCGAGGGGCTATGTAAGAGAAACTTCATTTGATCTCATCCTGAACTTGGGCTTTTATTTCATTTTTAAAAAATATTTCTTTATTGACTTCAGAGAGGAAGGGAAAGGGATAGAGTGATAGAAATGTCAATGATGAGCGAGATTCATTGATCGGCTGCCTCCTGCACGCCCCTTACTGGGGATGGAGCCCACAACCCCAGGCATGTGCCCTTGGCCGGAATCAAACCTGGGACCCTTCACTCTGCAGGCCGAAGCGCTATCCACTGAGCCAAACCAGTTAGGGCTTGAACTTGGGCTTTTGGTTGTGATGGTATGGGGCCCATTCCCTGACTTCTTATGTATGTCATCAAGAATTGCTTTTCTCTCTGTTTTAGTTCGCGCCTTTAGCTCCCAAAGCCAGCTTTTTAAAAATAATCATGTGTGGGTCACACGCTCGTTCTTCGGTGCCCAGAGCCAACGTACGTTTTCAAAGCTGATTTGCCTGTTGCTGATGCCCAGGCACAGGCACGTTAGAGTGATAGCTGTAACCCTGAAAAGCCCCAGGAGCAAACCAGGGAGCTGGTAAACACAACTTCACACAGCAGGCAGCTGGGTGAGGCCTTGGAAAGGCAGCTATGGGTAACTGTGTCTGCTGTGCTGGCCCTTTCCGATACCCTTCTGAGCTTAGAGAGGCCCCACTAGAAAAAGGGGCAGTTTTAACCACAATATGGACAGTTTTCCGCCACAGGACATTATTCTGGAAGACTTGACTGTTTGTGTAGCACAAACATGTCAAACTCAAAAGCTAACACGGACCAAATAAACGAGGCATGAGGCCCCCAGGCCGTGAGTTTGACATGCTTGGTGTAGCAGACTCCTGGGTCAGAGAGTATTGATTTCAGAAAGGAAATTGATAGACTAGGTGCGAAGATAAAATAATGAGTCAGATTTTTGGTGTGGATTTCAGAAAGAAGCTTAGTCGCTTTCAAGTCATACCACAGAGGTGATCTGGCCTCTTTTTTTTGGAGATATTGGCCATTTGTTTTCAGATGGGTACTCACTCCTACCCAACAAAAACTGGATCTTTCTGTCAGAAGTTCACTCTGTCACTGTGTAGTGCTGGTATTAGTCAGGGCTCTTCATATATATATATATATATATATATATATATATATATATATATATATAGAGAGAGAGAGAGAGAGAGAGAGAGAGATGATAAGAAATTAGCTCATGTGGTTATGGAGGATGGCAAGTCCCAAGATCTGTAGGGTTAGTCAGCAGGTTGGAGAGGTCCAGGGGAATCACTGGTTTATTTAGTTCCTATCTGAGTCTGGAGGCCCAAGACCCAGGAGGTCCTGTGATATAATTCCAGTCTGAAGGCTGACAGGCAGAAAGAATTTTACTAGGGAAAGAGTCAGCTTTTTTGGTTCTATTCATGCCTTCAACTGATTGGCAAGGCCCACCATGTTAGGGAGAGCAATCTACTTTACTCAAGATAATAATGTTAATTTTATCCAAAAATATCCATACAGAAACATCCAGAATAATATTTGACCAAATATTGGGGCATTCTGCAGTCCAATCAAGTTGACCAATTAATCATCAAGTAGAATTTTTCTTTCTTTAAAAAAAAAAAATCCTCATTACAGAATGTTTATTTTTATTATTATTATTGTTGTTGTTGTTGATTTGAGAGGGGGAGAGAGAGAAAGAAAGAGAGAGAGAAACCTCCATTGGTTGCCTCCAGTATGCAGGCTGATTGGTGATTAAACCCACAACCTGGGTACCTGGGTATGTGTCCTGACTAGGAATGGAACCCGCCACCTTTTGGTGTATGGGATGACACTTCAACCAGCTGAGCCACACCAGCCAGAGCCCGAGTAGAAATTTTTATTTGCTTTTGTACAGTTTTTAAATAAAAGTTTGGTATTCATTGTTGTTATTTTCATTGTGAATGAAAAGTTGTAGGAAAAGGCTTTGGGCTGATAAGAGGAAAACACAGTATGGGATTAGTTTCCAAACCGCCTTGAATCCACTCAAAGGGGCTATCTCAACAGTTAAAGATAAAGTTACAGTTAAACACAGTTAAGCTGCTCAAACCACAGTTAAAAATAAAGCTACAGCCTATTTCTGGTAGAGATATTAGCTGTGAATTTTCAGATGGGTATTCAGTATACCGAACAAAAACTGGAGTCTGTCTTCTTAGCATTTTATTTAAATCAATTTATAAGCAAATTGATATTTCTCTCATCCATATCCAGTTTCAAATCCACTTTCTTGAATATCCCAATCATAAAACTAACATTGTCCACACTGGATGCACCCAAGAGAATTTATCACCAAGAAAGAGACTTGGGATTTGTGGGGGCAGAGCTTGCTATAGCCTCTCAACAATTCTGTCAGAAATTTTACAGGGCAGGAAAATGCTGCTCCTCCCCTGTGGCTAGGTGTGAGGACTGGGATCAGAAATCTGGTTTACTTAGCTCTGAAGTCAATACTTTTTTGCACTAAAATAGCATGCAGATTTGAGAAGCCTATAGAATTTTAGCCTACTTATTCAATTAGACTATTTTGTTGTTAAGCAAAACCTGGGGGGAAAAAAAAATCCTAATCCTGGATATACATTGGTGGGCTTGTTCCGTCAGGACTGATGGTCAGGTTTAACTACATAGGACCCAGAAAAATCCCTGTGCAGCGGGGTCAGGAGTCCTGGAGGTCCTAGGACAGGGAAGGTTTCGCTTCTCTGATTAGTGCGTTGGACTGGTTGATCTCTAAACTCCCTCCCAGTTCCACAATTCTTTGACTTTGAATGATGAACCTCTACGAACTTCGACTGAGGCTCAGGATTCTAGGCTTAGTGGAATGCCTTCAGGACCAGAGTCACCAACTAGCTCATGGAGGTCATGTAGGTTAGCTCTACCTAGTCTACCACTCCCAGGCTAGTGGCCCTACATGGGGCTTTTTACGCTGAAGCACAGAAGGGAATCCGAGGACCTTAGGAGGCAACCCAGTGCCCAGGCGGGGGCTCTAAACTTGGCACTTCTCTTCGAGGCTACGATTTTCCTCAGGACTACAATTCCCACAATCCACCACCGAGCGCGCTGCTGATTGGCGGGCCCGCTCGGCTTTCTTGCGTTTTGGCAGCCAGGAAAGCCAATGGGAAAGAGAGGCCGTTCTCCGAAGCCAATTCTGCACTGGCAGGGCGGGTCCTCTCCGGGTTCCGGCTCCGGCTCCGCCCCGGCTCCCGGAGGCGGCGCCGTCCCTGACCGAGCGGCGGGAGCGAGGTGGGTCCGGCCTGGGCCCGCGGACACGGGGGCGGCAGACATGGTTCCGCGGGGACTCTGAGCGTGGCTCCTTCCATCTCCCCGGGAAGCCGGAGGTTGTGGTTTTGCTCCCCGGACCCAGCAGGGGACAAAGCGGGCCCTGAGATCCCGACCCCTGTCCTCCCCGGCCCGCGCGCCAGCCTGCTGGCCCCAGCCCTGCCCCTCGGGCCCTTCTCCTGTTGGCCTTTGAGGACTCCAGCCCCCCTGGCACTGACTATATATTTGGGGTCAGCCCCCCGCCCCCTATCCCACCCCTCCGGCTCCTGTCCCCCAGAGGCTCGTACCCTCGGACTCCGCCCTGACACCTCTGATGGCAGCGTTTGCGCCCTGTCCCCTGACCATCTTCCTTTGATCCTCCTCTGTCTCTGATTTGTTTTGCAGCCACCCTGTGCAGTTCCCTCTTCTCTGTTCTTTCCAAGCTCTACCCTTTCTTCCCTCCAGTTGTCGACTTGACCCTAAAGCACCCAAACTTCCAGCTGGGTCTCTTCCCTCTAGTCCCGGCCTTTGGACTTCAGCATCTGACCAGCCCCATCTTCTTGGCTCTTACTGTTTAGACCTGGCTCCTCCTCCACGGCCAGCGCCCCTTCCACTTCGGGGCCTCTTTGTACTTCTGAGCCTCCCGGGAAGACAGCCAGGGTGGGCCCCGTGCTCACCCAAACTTCTGGAATGTGATAGGAAGGTGCCTCTGTACTTCACCTGCCGCTGTCTTTTCAGTAGTCAGTGGGTTCCCCTTGTCCGTGAGTCCCCGTCACACCCATCCCGCAAGCCCTAGCTGGAATTCCACCTTTTTCATGAAGCTGCTCATTCCTCACCGCTCAGGGAAGTATGCCCCTGTCTGGAGATCCTGTAGCACTGCTTTTTCCTCTCTCTTTCCGTCCTCCTTTCTCCCCTCTTCCCTCCCTCTCTCCTCCCTTTTCTCCCTCTCTCCTTCTTCCTTCCCTCTCTGCCTCCCTCTCTCCCTTCAACACTAGTGTGGCACTGGCTTTGGAATGATGGGAATCTCCCTGAGCCTCAGTTTCCTCATCTAAATTAAGTTGTGAGAATGAAAGGAGACGATTCATATGTAGTGATTAGTCCATAGCCTAGCACTTGGAATGAGCTTAAGAAATGTTAACTGTTATTATTATTAACAACTGTTATCCTGTATAATGTGCCAGGTGCTGTATGAGGCACTGAGGAGTGGATACAAAGGCCACTAAGGCCTATCCCCGTCCCCTGGAACTTAACCTTCTACTGTACAAGAGTTTCTGGAGTTTGTGGCCCATTTCCCTGCACTGAACCATAACTGTGTGAGGATAGTAACCGCAGCCCTAAATCCTTTTGCTCTTATTTTGACCCAGCATTCAGGCCAGGGTAGAATCAGCTAGGTAAAGTGTACTGGTAAGTTCTCAGGGTAGCAGGATTCAAAGTGAGTAGAGGCTGTGTAGCTTATGGCATGGAGCCGTTGGTGAGGTGGGCAGGGGTGGGGAGTGACTTAAGGACATAGTCAAGCACATTTAACAACATTTGGGCACTGGGCCTTGTGCTGGGGAGAGATTACCAAAATGATCGAGTCCTACCCTCAAGTTACTTGTAAACTAGTGGAAACAGACATGTAAGTGGATACACTGTAATTACAAATCACTGTAACAGCAAGTACACGATTCTGTGGGGGCATAAAGGAGGACAAGGGCAGGCATGAAGAGATTGCTGAGGGACAGTGGGCGAGGATGGACACAAGCATGCCATGGGTTCTGGAGGCAGGCCTGGCCTTCAGTTATTCAATTCATTCAACAGATAATTTATTAAGGATCTACTCGGACTGCCAATACCCTAAGACAGTGGTCGGCAAACTCATTAGTCAGCAGAGCCAAATAGCAACAGTACAACGATTGACATTTCTTTTGAGAGCCACACTCAAGGGGCCAAAGAGCTGATGTGGCTCATGAGCCGCAGTTTGCCGACCACAGCACTAGGAGTTGAAGTTACATGAGTGGATAAAACAAAGACTCTGGCCCTCATGGGACTTACGTTTTAGCAGAGGGTAGGGCGGCAGATCATATATAAAAGACATATACATCAGTGCAATGTTAGGTTGTGAGAAGTATTGTTGGGCACGGACTGGAAGTGTGGGAGCGGGTGTGATTTTTAAAAGGATGGTCAGGAAACAGTGAATAAGTATCAGGGAATAAACTTTCTGATGTTTAGCTGCATATTTGAAAGTGAAACAAGCCTATCTTTCACATTGCTTAGCAAGAAACCCTTTCTAACAGAGATTGGTAAACTATAGCTGGCCTCCTTTTGTTTATAAAGTTTTATTCAGACACAGCCATGTTTGTTTATGGCTGCTTTCATAATATTGTAAAACAGCAGAGTTGCAACAGAGATTCTGTGGCCCCAGATATTTACTAAATATTTACTCTCTGGCCCTTCACAGAAAAAGTTTTCTGATCCTACCTAAAGATTTGAGGCTCTGTCCAAATTTCATAATTTAGATTACATACAGTCTTGTACCATTTTTTAAACTCCTCACCCAAGGATATGATTTTGTTGATTTTAGAGAAAGAAAGGAAAGGAAAACGAGGAAGGGAGGGGGAGAGAGAGAGAAACATTGGTGTGTCAGGGAAACATTGATCAGTTACCTCCCATATGTGCCCTGATTGGGGATGGAACTCATAACCCGGGTATGTGCCCTGACCAGAAATCATACCTGAACCCGTCACCTTTTGGTGTATGGGACAACGTTCCAACCAACTGAGCCACCTAACCAGAGTGTGCTTGTACCATTTTTCAATTAAAAAATGTTTTTTTCTTAACAAGATCACTTACGGGATCTTTTCCATTCTTGTATTCTCCGCAGGTCTAGGAAACAGTGCCTCCAGCGACTGTAAGAGTAGCTGTCACTTGCTGAATGGCTAGTACATGCCACCCACTACCCTGAGCATGCTTTGGCATCTTCTCTAACGCAGCGTAGGTAGGTCACACAATTTTAGCGACATGGGAGTTGAGGTTCAGAGTGGTTGAATAATTACAGAGTTTTCAAGATAATATGTGTTATCGCTGGGATCCAATCCTAAATGTAGTCAGTGTCCCTTCTGTTACTTTATGTTGCTGTTTTCAAAAATACTTGCTGACCTGAAGGAAGTATCAGTCTTTCATGTTATCATCAGTGCGCTCTCATAGTGTGTGCTTCCCGCCCTCATCCTTTTGTTCATGTCACTCCACTGCATCTTCAGCAGCCCGCTCTGCCTTCTGAAATGTTATTTCTCCAAGCCCCATTGGAAACACCTCACTCTCCTCTTACAAGAAGTACGTTTTCTTCCCTTCATTCTCTGTTCTTGGCTGCAGGACCTCAAAGGAATGGATGCAGCTTAGCGAGCATTTACAGATGTTTGCATAAGTAGACCCTGTGCTAGTCACTCTGTGTGTAGCTCTGTGTGAAGGAGTGTGGTTGGTGTGTATGTGTTTGTATAGCTGCGTGTGTGTGTGTGTGGTTTGTGTGTCCATGTGTATAGCTTTATGTGTGGGTGTGATTTGTGTGTCTTGTCTCTTGTCTGTGTGCATGTAGCACGTGAGTATATGGCTGTGTGTATGTGTGTGAGATTGCATGTGGTATAAGAGTATAGCTTTAAAAGAAAAAAAAAAAAGTACAGTTATGTGTGTGTAAGTACATAGCCAGGTCCTGAGATTTTTTAACTGAAAGCCCTGAGAAGGGACTCGGAGTATATTTGGCTCTGTTGACTAATGAGTTTGCAGACCACTGTCCTGGGAGAGTTGTGAATGGTGTATAGGATATGCATGTGTGTGGTATAAGTGTGTGTATGTGTGACTGTGGTATGTATGTGTAGTGTGAGAATATGGCTGAATGTGTCTGGTATGTGAGTATGGCTGTGCATGTGGTGTGAGCAAGTGTGTGCGCATGTGGCTATGTATGGTGTTTGAGAGTGGAAGTGTGTACTGACCCATCAGAACAGACACAGCCCAGACCCTGCAGTAGGTCTTAGAGGCCTCAGGTGTTCACTCGTTAGTTGCTGGATTATAGTGAGGCCCGAGGAAGGGAAAGGAAGGGTACAGAACACCTAAGAGGATTCAGAGATGGGCCTGGTAAATAACCAGGAAAGCCTCAAGAATTAGAGGTTCTGCTATGTTCATTTTGAAAGCAGGCACATAGATGGATACTTTTAAGGAAGGTTAAAAATAAAAAAAGAGTTAAACACGAGTTTCAGTTAACTTACAGTTAGGTGGAAGAACTGAACTCATTCTAAAATGAAGTCCTTCGCTTGCACATAAATTACAGCGTGGACTGTTACCGTGTAGTGGTGTGAAGAAGAATGACATTATTTAATTGCACAAATATGATCTGTGGTGGTGGACAGAGTGGTTCCTTTTCATTCTGGTTTGGTAGCTTTAAATATCTGGAAGTTTGTTCGCTTCCAAGTTAGTAAGTAAAGGCGTTCTATGCGAGTTTTCCCGTTAGTTGAGATTACTTCTGATGGCTGGTTCCAAGGGGAAGGTGTTTACCTCTTCAAACAGCACAAAATTCCCTGTGGCCTGGCCTGACCCACGGAATAAAGGTGTTGGCCATTTGTGTTCGTTCTCAGGATTCAGAGATGGGCAGTGAGAAGGAGCAGAATCCAGAACAGCACCTGCCTGAGGAAGGGGAGCGGGGTAAGCCTTGGAGAGCGGACGACCCAGCGGGTTTTCGCATCCCAGATGGGGAGGAAGAGCATGGGCCAGAGAGCCCGTCAGAGAGACCACGAGGGATCCATCCCAGAAAGCCCTGGCAGAAAGCCAGTGTCCCCAGTGGAGAGCCGGGGGACCCCGCTATCCATTCAAGACTCGAGGCCGATGAGAAGCCCTTTGTATGTGCCCAGTGTGGCAAAACCTTCAACAACACCTCCAACCTGAGAACGCACCAGCGGATCCACACCGGCGAGAAGCCCTACAAATGCTCCGAATGTGGCAAGAGCTTCTCCAGGAGCTCCAACCGCATCCGGCACGAGCGGATCCACCTGGAGGAGAAGCACTACAAGTGCCCCAGGTGCCAGGAGAGCTTCCGGAGGCGCTCGGACCTCACCACACACCAGCAGGACCACCTGGGCAAGCGGCCGTACCGCTGCGACATCTGTGGCAAGAGCTTCAGCCAGAGCGCCACGCTGGCCGTGCACCGCCGGACCCACCTCGAGCCGGCACCCTACATCTGCTGTGAGTGCGGGAAGAGCTTCAGCAACAGCTCCAGCTTTGGGGTGCACCACCGCACCCACACGGGCGAGAGGCCTTACGAGTGCACCGAGTGCGGGCGGACCTTCAGCGACATCTCCAACTTCGGAGCACACCAGAGGACTCACCGAGGGGAGAAGCCGTACTGGTGCACGCTGTGTGGGAAACACTTCTCTCGGAGCTCCAATCTCATCCGCCACCAGAAGACGCACATGGGAGAGCCGGCTGGGAAAGACACCAGCTGAAGGAGCGAGGGAGAGAGGGAGCGAGAGACCCCCAACTTAGTGTAGGAAGATCTTTAGGATTTGCTGCTGCCCTTTGGCCTCAAGCCCTTCTCCCCACTGCGGAGAATGGTCTCCTGTTGCCTCTGAAGCCAGGATCTCTCCAGAAAGTCCTCAGAAGGGATTCTGAGTAAACATCTTTGTTCCCTTCCAAGCAGATATTTTGCCTTGGGAAGTCAGAGGACCTGGTCTTGGCTTCATCTCCTTGGGGTGAAAGAGAAAGAGGGCAGGTTTAGTACGTGCTAACTTCATTAGGGCAGCTGTCCCTGGCCTTTGGGATGGGCACCACGTTGTGTGAGAACCGCTGAGGGCCCATTGCAGTGGCCTGCTGGTTCCGTCCACTGTGCTCCTCCGCAGCCTGGAGAGGAGGCCCTGCCTTAGACACGGAGGGAAGCCCGCAGGGAGCCGTCATCTGGGACCTGCACTCTCCCCACATGTGAGACTTGTTATCCCGACCCCAACCTGCCTCTGTTCCCTGAGTGATCAGCAGTAAAACCCTTCAATGAAAAGGACCTGTGTACTTATTTGGGGGCATCCAAGAAGTGGGGAGCTGGTCTCTCCGCAGCTACTCTGGAAGAGAGTTGAATTTCAAGAAAGACAAGATGGGTGGTTGCTCTGAAAAGCAAAGGGAAGCAGGCTAAGTCTCTGGGCCTTTGAGGAGAAAAGAAAGAAATTAACATTAATTGAGCATTCACTATATGCCATAGATTCTACTAGTCACATTTCATTAAAAAAAAAAAAAAGTGTGTGTGTGTGTGTGTGTGTGTGTGTGTGTGTATTATTGATTTCAGAGAGGAAGGGAGAGGGAGAGGAAGAGGGAAAGGGAGAGAGAGATAGAAACATCAATGATGAGAGAGAATCATTGATCACCTACTTCCTGCACACCCCTCACTGGGGATTGAGCCCGCAACCCAGGCATGTGCCTTTGACCAGAATCAAACTGGGGACCCTTTAGTCCACAGGCTGACGCTCCATCCACTAAGCCAGATTGGCTAGGGCTACCAGTCACATTTCCATTAAAAAAATACACACACACACACATATTTTTATTGATTTCAGAGTGGAAAGGAGAAGAGGGAGATAGAAACATCAATGATGAGAGAGAATCATTGATCAGCCATCTCTTGAGTGTCCACCCTTCCCCTCTCCCCCACCAGGATTGAGCCTGCAACCCAGGCATGTGCACTTGACTAGAATCAAACCTTTCAGTCCTCGGGCTGACACACTGTCCACTGAGCCAAACCAGTCAGGGCTCCCATTTCCATTCTTTATATCATTTAATTGTTACAGCAACCCTAAAGGGAATAAAATGAAACAGCAGTGAGGAAAGGGAAGTCACTTGCTGTGAAGTCACACAGCAGATATGTGGTAGAATCAGAGTTCAAGCTTGAGCCTCCCTTGACTCTAAGATGATGTTCTTTCACTACATTCACCTTGTTGGCTTTGAAGAAGGAGCCTCTTAGGGGGCTGGCCTGGGTCCAAGGGATTGCCTGGACGTGGGAGCTAGTATGGCCTCTTGATGGGGCCTTGGACTATTTGCTCTGTAGGAAGTTAGTGCCACCTTTTCAGCTTTAGACTATTTAAAAAATATATATCTTTTTATTGATTTCAGAGAGGAAGGTAGAGAGGAACATCAGTGATGAATGAGAATCATTGATTGGCTGCCTCCTGCATACCCCACACTGGGGATCAAACCCACAACACGGACATATGCCCTGACTGGGAATCATACCATGACCTCCTGGTTCATAGATCGACGCTCAACCCCTGAGCCACACCGGGCAGGTTCAAGTTTAGACTCTTTATTGAGCACTTGCCTGTCTAGGAAAAAGACTGGCAGGGAGTAGCGGGTGAAGGGCGGGATAAGATGAACTCATAATGAGAGTCTTTCCTTAGGAGCAATAATTGAGTACTCAAGTCTGGGACAACTTAGCAGGAATAATTTTTGCTTTCTGCCCTGATTTAGGCCTGGTTCTACACTGGTTCAGTGCTTTCTACATAGAAGTTTAGTGTTTATCAGATTTCCTCCAAGAAATACAAAAGACCCCTCTCTACTTCTTGCCCTTCTGGTGTCCTGCTTCTCTGGAGTGAAGGGTCCTCTTCATATGTGACAGTTGACAGAATGAGACTATGGCATCAGGCTTGGAACTGACACTGTCCATAACCTAACGTAGCTCGTGGGACCTTGCCACCCACCCACAAAGGAAGGGATGTGCCCAGGAGCTTTCCACTCTCCATCTCACTGCATTTTCACAACAGCCCTGTGGAGTCAGACTTACGCACATTTGACAGTGGCAGAAACAGGCTGACAGAAAATAACTTTTTATGATTACATGGCAAATAAATGGCAGGGTCAGGAACTAAACCTACTTCTGCCCAAATCCAAAACCTGTATTTTTTCCAACTATGAAAGACTTCCCAAAGGATCCCCTGACATTTGTATGGCACCTTACAGTTTACAAAGCACTTTTATTTCACATACATTTCCCTGCTTCTTGAAAATCTCCTTACAAAATATTTTAATATTCTTTTTAAAAAAATATATTTTATTGATTTTTTACAGAGAGGAAGGAAGAGAGATAGAGAGCTAGAAACGTCGATGAGAAAGAAACATCAACCAGCTGCCTCTTGCACACCCCCTACCGGGGATGTGCCCGTAACCAATGTACATGCCCTTGACCGGAATCGAACCTGGCACCCTTCAGTCCGCAGACCGATGCTCTACCACTGAGCCAAACCGGCTTCGGCTCCATACAAAATATTTTAAACACAGAGTCAAACAAACTGACATTTATGAATGCTCACACATCTTAATAATAAAGGTCGCCATCTATCAAGCATCTGTTGAGCAACAGTTATTGAACATCTCTTACCTTTGATCTCTAACTATCCTGCAAGATAGCAGTATCCACATTTTCAAGATAAAATTTTGAGAGGTTAAACGACCCGACTTAATGACCCCATTGGGATTCAGATCTGGTACATCTGATTCCAAGGCCAAGCTCTTCTTTATACCCATGACCATGCCAGGCCTGCCTGTCTCCTCTCAGTCTGGGGAGCTTGGTATCATTATCCTTCCGACCTTAGTGACACATTCTGTGACTTTGGGACTCTTTGCTGCCAGTAAGACCCAGGACCGGGTACAAGGCATCTGCTTTCATCATGGGACATAATCTGCTGACCAATCTCATTTGCCCTTTTTTAACCAAGTTCATGGGCCGCGGTTTCTGTGTTGTCCAGACTTTTAAGTCTTGACTAGATAACTTATTCACTCTCTGGCTTCCTTTTTTGTTAGCGTTATTTTCTTCTTCATTCTCTTTCTTCCTCCCCCTTCTCCTCTTTTCCTTCCTTTTTTCCCCTCCTTCCTTTCCTTCTCTCCTAGCTGCTAGGAATACTGACCATAAAGACATGGTCCCTGTGTCCTCTGAATGCTGGAGGTTGGCACACAAGCCCATAGTCCACTGTAGGATGACAGCTGTGTTACAGTTGTTCCCCTAGGAGAGCCTGAACTTGGCCTGTGTTGGATACTGGGTCCCTGAAGTTAATAATAGTCCTTCTTTCAAGGGGCCCAGAGGAAGAAAACCTTCCCTCTGAACAAGGTGTTGGCGATCATAGGTGGGGATGGCTAACCCTGGAGGGGATGAGAAGGCTGAGATGATTATTGAATTTGTCTTAAAGAATGTCCTAACTGGTTATGCTCAGTGGATAGAGCGTTGGCCTGCGGACTCAAGGGTCCCAGTCAAGGGCATGTACCTTGGTTGTGGGTACATCCCCAGTAGGAGGTGTGCAGGAGGCAGCTGATCAATATTTCTCATCAATGTTTCTAACTCTCCCTTCCTCTCTATAAAAAATAAAATATTAAAAAATAAAAATAAATTTAAACCAATAGAAGTTCATGATTGGGTCAGGCATAAGGCAAACTTCTTTAATAAAAAAAAAGTATAGGTATTTATCAAGTAAAGGAGAGGAAGAGAAGGCTTATTGTTTTAGGGAAGTCTGATGTAGTTGAGAGTGTCCTGTGAGGATGAGATGGAGCTGATAAGGTAAATGGAGGCCAGATCATGAAGGGTGTTGGATGACAGGATGAAGAATTTTGGATTGTGGACAGTAATTTAAATCAGGAGCATGTCTTTGATCACATCACCCTGAGGAAGAACACTCGGGTTGGTGTGGATGATGAACTAAAGGGGGTCAAGTTAGCAGGAGCTAGCCGGGGCTCTCCTAACCCAGAGAGCTCTGTAGGATTGGCCCAGAGCCTTGCCAATTTCATGAATGGGAAAGTTCAAACTCTCCATACGATTTCTGCAGGTTCCTGTGATTTATACTTTATGGTCTCCTCTTGCCAAAGGTTCCTGTGGTCTGTACAAGCCTTCACTGTTTAGCCCTGCCCCAGAGTTAAGCACCTTCATGGACTTCCCTGAGAAATTCTGCCATTCTAGGCATTTAGAATCCCTTGGAGACATTGGGAATCTTGGGGAGGGGGTTCCATCATGGCATGTCACTAGCTTCCTCTCCTCTTTCCTCCCATTGCTGCTCTCAGCCTCTTTTCCCAGATTCCCTGGAAACTCCAAGTTGTTTTACTCTATTGTAAAAAGGCTTTTGGCTTTCCTCAACCTCTGTTGCCAATTTGCATACACAAACACATTAAGGAGCTCAACGGAAGAGGCCTCACTATTTGCCAGTTTGTTCCACCCCATAAAGCAGTTGCAAAAATAAATATCTTCAGAGATTTGTAAAGCATGTAAACATTAAAGGTTTAAGATAGTAGTCTAAACTCAAGTGATTCTCTCCCCTTTCTCCTAATAACCCCCCTAAAACAACAGAATGGTAGGGAAGAAGGGAGACAGATGCAAAGACATCCACAAATTTCTAGAAGTAGATGACAGACAATGATGGCTTAACAGACTGAAGGAAGCCATAGCCCAAAAGTGAGCAATGGAAGAGAGAGCCAGTCTTTCTGGCAAAATTCCAGAGAGGCTCTGACTTTATAATTAGCAAGTACTGAGGACAGGTAAAAAGTGGACCTATAAACATAGGGGTGCATATGTTCTTTCTGATTTGTAGGTCTGTCTATGCAGAAGCACCATTGCTAGTACCCCCAACTTTACTGAGCATTGTTGGACCCCTGGGGAGTGTAAAATTGTAGTTTCCTGGTGAAGCAGCCTAAATTACATGCCTATATCTGGCCATCCCTTTGCTCCTTTCCTGTTGTAAATAATTAGGTTAAATCACAATGGTATCATTGGCAGAGTTGAAGGCACTGTTAATGTTGGCACCAAAATGGGATTAGAATGGTACCAAACTACCTAAAACGTGGTTTTGTCCAGTGACATTCAAGTACTCAGGCAGGTATAAAGCTGCCTGATAGATTATTATTTATTTATTTTAAAATCTTCTTTTGTTGAAAGTATTACATAGGCCCTCTTTTTTCTCCCTTTGATTCCTTATAGCCTGCCCCCTGACCCCAAGCCTCCAATACACCCTATTGTCTGTGTCCATGGGTTATGCA